GCACAACGACAACAACAAAAAGAAAAGAATTATCAAAGTGCTAACTGCCAACAAAATGAACAATGTTGCCAAGATGGTATTAATCAACAACGACAACAAGATCGCCAAGATTTAAATCGTCAACAAAATAACCAAGGTTTAAATGCACAACGACAACAACAAAATCAACAAGCTGGTCAACAAATGAACAGCCAGCAACAACAAGATCGTCAAGGTTATGACGCTCAACAAAATACAAATGCCCATCAACAACAACAACAAGGTCAACAAAGTAATTGTGCTCAACAATTTAAACAAGCTGGTCAAATTGAAAATGCACAACAACAAAATCAACAACAATATTCTCGACTCATTCACTAAATGGATAATTGTATAGCCTGATAAAAGACAGTCATTTTGTATATTTTTCTGTAATATTGATGTTGTTTTTGTATTTTTCATAGTTCTTAGAAGTGTGTGTGTATCAGTTTGAAATAAAATAATTGAGAACGAAAACAATGTAAAATTATGTAATTATAGCGAAAGTGATGGAGTTAAATATAATCATGAGAAGTATCTGAAAACAAATATTATTAGAAATTTTGATTAAATTAGCTTAACATATAAGATTTTGATTGAAAATCGACAAAATACATAGATTTATGTGGTTTTAACTAAATTTATTAATATTGAAAAATAACAAAAGCTTTCGAGTCTGCAGACTCATCATCCGTTGCAAATAATCTTGAGGGTGTGGATGTTTGGAGATAGCAAAGATAACTCGAAACCCACATTCACATGTTCACCCACACCGTCAAGATGGTTTTAATGATTGAAAATGACATGTCCAACGTGTATCACATAATTGTTTTGATAGTGTAGATGCTAAACTTTCTTGCTTTTGGATATCTCCGAAACCTTTATGACGTTTAGTTGATCCTTCAATGAAACTAAAAAGAGATTCTACAATACCAAAATTATTTCGAACAGGTACAACAGCCTGTGCTACATCAACTAAGCATAGATTTAGTACATGACCGTTACAGTGAATATAGATAGCAGTTGATACTATCTGTTTTAAGCGAGAAGCAATACTTTTATAAGAACCACGTATTGCACTGACATCATCAAAACATTGTCTATATTGTCAATATTTAAATCCATTTTCTTCAACCATTGTAAAAGTCAATTACATTAAAGCATTACCGGTTGTACTTGATGCACGTTCAAAGCCAATAAAGCGTTCATAAACATGAAATTGATTATCAGCTGTTTCATCTATCATAATCGAAAAATATTTGGCACTTTTTATTTCTGATATAATTTGAAATAATATATTTTCTTATATTAATGCTAATATCTTGTTTTGATGTGTATATCAGAGATGGGACCGGTTCGGTTTCGAACCGAACCGACTCGAAATCGGTTCGGTTCGAGTTTTTGAAAAAGTAGAACGGTTCGGTTCGGTTCGGTTCGAGACATTTAACTCATTCAAAATTTGATATTCAAATACACTCGTTAGATTGTTGTAAATTTTGGCTTGGTTCGGTTCGGTTCGGTTCGGTTTGAGATCTTTTCGGTCCGGTTCGGTTCGGTTCGCGTTTTTGAAAAAGTAGGGCGGTTCGGTTCGGTTCGGTTCGGTTCGAGAAAAACACGAACCGATCCCATCTCTGGTGTATATTTCAAAGACTTTAGTTTGTTTCTAATTAAATCATTGTCCATAGTTCTAAACTCTAGAAGTTTAAGAAGATTACTTAAGAAATATTTAGTTTTGAGTTTAGATAAAAGATTAAATTTTAGAGATTGTATTGCTTACCTTTATTTTGAGAATCATCATTTTCTAGATTTCGTCGAAATGCTAAACCTTGTTTTGGAAGAAGTAAAAACTGTTCGAACAATTTCATTTAAACACATCCAATTTTCTAAATCCTGTTTTTGATGCTATTCATCGAATTGTTTTAGTACATCATTATTATTTTTTGCATTGAGTCACAAATCATTAGCATGTTTATGAAACTTGGATACCGCTGTATTCTAACCATGGATATTCTGGAAACCATTGTGCAACAAAAATGATGATGATTCTTTGCTGGATATTTAATATTTAGTTAAAATGTACCTAACAAAACAAATTCTTTAGCAACTGACAGATCATGACCGGGATCTCGTTTGTATGAGTTTTACGCATTTCATTTACATTCGCATTATCTGAAATTATAATTACTTTATCAGACGAATTACATGATGCATGTAATGGAGTTTGTCTTTATTAGACATAAAAAATATACTAAACATAATAACGATATGATAAGTGCTTGAAGAAAACAAGAAAACAACAAAAATTGATTTAGATTCTCTTCTTAATACGGAACAACAACAGAGTCGTTTTTGTTCTCCAACAATGCATTAATGCTGATTGACCTACCTTGAATTTTTTGACTAAGGTAGATGGCGGACACATGCTTAAAAAGTTTTAAGAGAAGAAGAGTAGTTTTACGATTACGAAATGTGTTTCTAATAACTATCAAAATATAAGGAATATCAGGGTAGGCAATAGTTTTCTATTGTCTCCCCAAATTTTCTTCAGTGGAGGTACTTGCCTCACATCGCCTAGACGCCGCGCTGCCAATGGTAGTGATGATGCCGGCAGAGGCTAGGAAAATTTGGATTGTTGGCTTCTGTTTTGCTCGTTCTCTCAATAATATTACCAACAAATTTGTTTGTCTTGTTCTGTTTCTTGCTCCATACAATATTATTTTCAAAAGTAACTAGGTGGAGTTTGCCCTTGAGTCACAATAAAAAATACATGATATTCGAAGTTGTTAAAAAATCAAGAAACAACAAGTCACCTTCTATATAAATAGACGAGACAACGTTTAGATTTCTATCAAATCAACTATTGTCAACTTCATTACAAGACGACATGGGTGCACACAAATCGAAAGAAAAACTTACAACAACATCAAACTCAACGGCGTCATCCAATATTCGTCGATCACGGCAACGTACGGCACAAAACTACCTTCTCGTATGGGTAGATGCTAGCATCGATGAAACAAACAAGGACTGCCAAGACACATTGGCTCAATTGAAGAATGTGGTCAACGACGTTAACCTATGCACGCAACCGGATCAATGCATCCAAGTGCTCAATCACTTTGATCGTGAAAGAGCTTTTGTTATAACATCCGGCTCACTAGGTCAACATTTGGTTCCTGAAATTCATGATATGCCACACTTAGATGCCATTTATATCTTCTGTGGTGACAAATCTCGACATCAAGAATGGACACAAAACTGGACAAAAATTAAAGGTGTTCATACAAATATCAAAGAAATTTGTCAGGCATTGCAATTGGCTGTTAAGCAATGTGACCAGGATTCAATTGCCGTAAGTTTTCTTACTGTAAATGAAATGGCCTCAGCTGATAATTTGAATCAGTTGGAGCCAACTTTTATGTATACACAAATATTCAAGGAAATTCTCCTTGATATCGACTATGATCGCAAAGCAATCAGATACTTAGCAGCCTGTTGTCGCGAAATTTTTAGTGGCAATACAATTGAATTACAAGTGATTAATGAATTCGAACGTGACTATGATCCACAACAAGCAATATGGTGGTATACACGTGAGTGTTTTACTTACAAAATGCTCAATCAAGCAGTTCGAACATTGGATGCCGATATAATCATTAATATGGGCTTCTTTCTACGTGATGTACATCAAAAAATTCAACAATTGTACAAACAACAGGTCAGCACTTATGAACGAAAACCTTTTTTACTTTATCGAGGACAAGGTCTTATGAAATCAGACTTTGAAAAACTTCAGAAAACAAAAGGTGGACTTATTTCATTTAACAATTTCTTATCTACCAGTAAAACAAAAGATGTATCCCTTGGTTTTGCTCAAGGTGCTTCAGCACAACCAAATAAGGTGGGTATTCTTTTTATAATGTGCATTGATCCTTGTATTAAATCAACACCGTTTGCTTCCATCAAAGAAGAGAGTTATTTTAAAGAAGAAGAAGAAATTCTCTTCTCAATGCACACCGTGTTTCGAGTGATTGCAATTGAACAAATGGACAATAAGAATCAACTTTATCAAGTTGAATTACAACTAACGTCGGATGATGATCAGCAATTACGATTACTTACTGATCGGATACGAAAGGAAGGTGATGGTACTGGATGGCAAAGAGTGGGTAAATTATTGCTTGAAATTGGTCAATTTAATAAAGCTGAAGAACTTTATAACGTATTACTCGAACAGACATCTAGTGAAGGTGAAAAAGCGCATTATTATGTTAGTCTGGGAATTGTCCAATACCAGAAGGGTGATTATGAAAAGTCTATTTGGTATTACGAACAAGCACTTCAAATCGAACAAAAAACTCTTCCTTCAAATCATCCAAATTTGGCTAGTTCATACAACAACATCGGTAGTACGTATGTCAATATGAGAGAGTACTCGAAAGCACTGTCATATTTCGAGAAAGCACTTGAAATTAAACAAAAAACTCTTCCTTTAAATCAGCCTAAGTTGGCTACTTCATACAACAACATCGGTAGTACGTATTTCGACATGGGAGAGTACTCGAAAGCACTTTCATATTTCGAGAAAGCACTTGAAATTAAACGAAAAACTCTTCCTTCAAATCATCCTGATTTGGCTACTTCATACTACTGTATAGGTTTAGTGTATAACGACATAGGAGAGCACTGGAAAGCACTTTCATCTCACGAAGAAGCACTTAAAATTCGTCAAAAAACTCTTCCTTCAAATCATCCTTTATTGGCTACTTCATATACGAACCTCGGTAACGTATATAACAACATGGGAGAGTACTCGAAAGCACTTTCATATTACGAACAAGGACTTGAAATTCAAGAAAAAACTCTTCCTTCAAGTCATCCTGATTTGGCTACTTCATACAACAACATCGGCATTGTGTATGAGAAGATGAAAGAGAACTCGAAAGCACTTTCATTTTTCGAAAAAGCACTTGAAATTGAACAGAAAACTCGTCCTTCGAATCATTCTGAGTTGGCTTCTCCATACAACAATATCGCTAAGGTGTATTATAATATGAAAAACTATTCGAAAGCACTATCATATTATGAACGTGCTCTGACCATATGGCAAGGTGCATTACCTCCAAATCATCCTAATATTCAAAATGTAAAAAAGAGTATTGAAATTGTAAAAGAAATGATAAAGAATAGTTGATAAATAAATAAAAGAATATTTTGTTCGCTTATTTTTAAATTATTTTTAGTTTCTAGTGACTCGCTGCCGTACACAGAATAACTCTGTAAATAATAAAAACGTTATGCACAAAGCCAACTGATAAGGTAATATACATACATATGTATGTGTATAAATGATCTTCTCAGATATATTTACATTCCTAATTCTTTACGAGAGCGTTCCCTGTAATAAAAGAAGATAGTGATGGATATGTCATCAACACACGGCCTGATTGAATAGTTGAATTCAAGTTTCAAGTATTACATATATAGAGATATAGAAGTAGATCATCAAAATTGAGAATATGAAAAAATGAAATTTATTCATTTTATATAGATAACAACGGGTTTTTACAACAAAATAACCATCTTGAGGATGTAGATGTGAGTATTGTATTTACCTCTCATTCGCATCCACACCCTTACCCTTGAATATTTGAATATTTCGAATATTCAACTGTGATATTTGAATAGTTGAATATTGCAATTCATATTTCTAGTATCACATTTATGCTCTAAATATGATTACAACGAATAGCTTTAAGTTTTATCAATTATATGAATATTTTATTGAAGAAAAGGATTATCTGAAGGAATACATTGACTACGAAAGTAGAATAAAACAATTGGAATTAGAATCATCTGCATAAGAATAATCAAAAGAAATGCCCACCAATATTGTTTAAATATAGCTGTATAGTTAGTAAGAAGAAGAGAACTAAATCCAGTACTAATTAAATTTATACTATCATCTAATAATAGAGGAAGACATTTATGCGATGGATCACAAAAACCTTGATTTGTATTACATGATGAACCATCTAAACAATCATTATTATTATTATTAAAAAAATTATTTTTATATTATTATTTCTTACATGGTAAATAGAGAATTTTCGAAGAATCTGGATTCGTATCAATCGTATGATATGGTATACATAAACCATGTGTATTTAGACAACCAATCATACATAATTGTTCTTCTCGTTCTTTTAATTGACAAGGTAAAAGAGAATATAATGTACAAATAGATACTTGACATGAACCATTTCTACAAAGTAGAGTACCATTACGACAAAGTGTTTTATCTGGTTTAAAATAATTTGTATCATAATCTGGACAATTAGCTGATGTACCTAAACATGTAATAGCCATTTTACATTCACTTTCAGCAAGACATTGATAACCACTTGGATAAAATTGACATGATGATTGACAACATGAACCAGTAGACTAAAAAATTATCAACAAAAACAAAATGTATAATTAATTTTATTTAAAATAATTTAAATATATACTGGTGAACAAACAGCATGTGGTTTAAGTTTACAATCTGATGTACAACAATTACTCGATGTTCCATGTTCATCACATATTTCACCGGATGAAAGAATACCATCACATTTACTTTGAACTTTTTTTGTTGTTGATAAACATTTTGGTTTCGATTGACTGAGTGTTTCCATATATTTTCTAGAAATTAAATTAAACTAAATTAACTAAATATTTTATCGAAAAATTTCATATATACGAAATTGTATCAAGTGTACAATGAGAATAAGCTCGATTATTTGGTAAAAGTCCATCAGTACCACTTGGATACATAAGATAACTTCCACCTTGTTCTTCTGATGGATTACATTCTTTTTGTCGATATTTAAATTCTCCATCATCATCATGATGAGCATTCATTGAATGACCAATTTCATGAAAAAATGTCATTTCACCTCTACTCATATTTAAAATAATAACAAAATTTTATAATAATAATCAGAGATGTACTTATTTAAACTGTAACTATATATATAAATATAAAATTAATATTAATTTAGAAATAAATATATTTTTATATTTACTCGCTTGCATCAAAACTAACAGTAACAAGTCCAACATTTCCATAATATCGTGGATTAAAACCAGATTTAGTCGGTGACCAATTATTTATCTCTCGTAATTCACTACAAAGATGTCCTCTCCATGACCATCCTAATGCAATACCTTGATTATTTTGCAATTTAAGTTTTCTTGATGTTAATCCATAATAAAGACATGCTTGTTCATTATTATTATGTTGTTTATCATAATCACTATATCGAACTATAAGATCCAAAAGAGCATCACTATTTATATCTGATGAACAAAATTCTTCTAATGGATTGTTTGTAAGATTTTTTTTATTACATATATTGTCTGTCACTACTGATATGTATATGAAAATATTATTTTATAATAATCAATATATAAAATACTTGTAATACCATGCACAAAAAATTGTACAGTTACATTTTTTATGTTTGATGTGTAAGGGAAACGATAATGATTGTATAGTTCATTGAGTCCTTCGACATTTCGATAGATATAAGTAGTGAGTAAAGTATTTGTTCGAAAATAATCATGATCTGCTCGTGTTGTAAATGTCTATATAATAGAATATAGTTTAAAAAAAAAGATTCAATATCAATGTTAATACCAATGTCCATAATGGATAGTCAACAATAAAATGAAGACTACAGTAAAGTGTATCACTAGTTGTTTTTAAAATAATACAGGTGAGATAATAGAAGATATGAAGATTATAAATATACATTGATCTGACTTCAACTGATGAATCTTGATGTTAGGCGCGTTGTCGATGAACCGACTAATTGATTTCTAACACACATCAATTTAATAGATACAACTATAGTCTAACATTAATGTTTTATTTAGAGAATTATTTAAATTTCATTTATTTTATTCATTGGTAAGTAGTTTATGATTAAAGAGAACATATCTTTAGTAAATAGAAACGAAACTACTTGATGCTTTTGTCGATGAGAAGAATGTTATCAATACTATATACAAGAATAACAAAAATATGCATTAGTTTAATATAATGAATCGAAACAATAACTACTTGAATAATAAGTTATCGTTACCATATACAATTCAATCAGTATATGTTCACTGCTGCTACAACAAGAAGATCGTGTAGAACAATATATATGCCATAAGCAATCATGAATATCTATGACTTTATTTTTTCTGAATAAATTGTTTAACAGATATCATAATTCGTCTAAGTCAATATCCAACTCATGATACTGTTGACGTCATCTTATATGTTTTTGTAAGTAATTAAATCAATGTCTCGTAGAAACTAATTTTTTATGTTTTACCTACCCGTAGAATAAAGATTTCTTCACCATTTTAAATGTTAGAGAGTTGGGCATGGTTTTAAAATGATCAAATGAATAAATCACTCTATTTTCCCTATGGTATTAATACCGAATAAATAAATACACCCTCACCCACACCCTATCAACAACAAATAGTTTAATAGAAAGACATAAGCAGTACTCAACAGATATAAGATTATTAAGATAAGAAACATGAATAAAAAAAATTTGATAACTACAAATATTTCTTTTGATATTATATAAGATTAAATTTCAAGTAATAGACGTTTTAAAAAAGAAGATATCTTCTAATGGTTTATTTGAATTGAAAAAGCAAGAAGATATTCTCGACTTCTGAAAAACGTCTTAGCAAATTAATACTTAACCTTCAAAGTGGTCGATACCCTTGAATATTAATAAATATATTGATTTAATTATAAATTCATAAAAAGAAAATATTATCACAGACAATAGTAGTGAAATCATAGAATTGTCAAAACAGGACAAAAAGAATAAATGCAATTGCATTTCTTAGAATATTTCTCTTAAATACATAAATGTTTCCGTGAAAAGAATGAATATTAATATGCTTTTATTTTTTCAAATTTAATAATATATATGCACGTTTTATAATATAAAAAAAAATAAAATTTTCCTTATTTGAGAATATTTTAAAACAAACGTTTAATAAATCTTTATTCTCTTACAATCAATTTGTACATATTGGATTTGAATTCTAACTGACGTCAAGTAGTGTACATAATGCACTTGTAAGGATACCATTGTTGCTTCTACTTAATGAACGAAACAAAAAAATGTGTGTATATACTTATACATATATGCTTCGAGCATTTACTTTTGAACGATGAATAATGTCGATTTTTTTTATCTCTAGTATATTAAAGTAGACAAAAGAGAGTGAAAATGAAGATAAACACTAGTCTCGTTTCTCCCTCTTACACATACACATGTTATTCACACTAAACATTTTTTTTTTCTCTCTCTCTGTCTCTTTCTCTCTTATATTTTGTTCTTTCAAATATTTAACGACATGAATAAAAATTGTAAAGAAAAAAAAAAAGAACCTGAAATGTTTTTTTCATTTTTACTAGAATGTCTTTTACCTTTTTAAGAGACTTACATTTATACTTTTACTCTAACACGTACATATACATCATTTGTTCGTCAACAACATTACATTAAGAACGACAAATTCAAATCATCAATGGCAATTCATTTACACAATAGAACAACTATAAGAAAAAGAGGAGAAAAAAAACAGCTGTTATATATTTATTGTTCATTGTAGGATGAAAAAGGTAAGTTTATTTCTCTCCTATAATTTATTGTTAAATAATCAACAAAATGAATTCCGATTAGTTTTCTCGATTTACAACATTATAATAAGTCTATTCAATTTTTTCTCGTCTCTCGTTTCTGAATGTAATATATTAAATCATTTATTTGCTACACATTTTAGAGAATTTCTATGGAAATAAATATACACATATGTTCTAATAATAGATACGATTATTCTTTCATTCTAGTTTTTTTTCTCTCTGTTACTTATAGATAAATATAGATAGAGTTAATGAAAATTGTTATGTTTGAAAAGAATTAAGGAAATGAAACTGAAGATTTCCGTATGTCTGAAGAGGTAACCACTAGTAAGATTAATCTTACTTTCTTTTTTATATCTTTCTTTTTTTATTATTTAAAATAGAATGACACAGTGGTAATTTAATATTATTTAATAACCATCGATTTCTCTAGTCAAATAACTCCAATGTCAAAAACGCTTGTATATCAAACAAATAAAGAATTTGATAAATGTGCTGAGCTCTTACGAAGTATTATAAATGCACAAGGTAGGGTTTATCAAGTTGTTTTTTCTTCTATTATTTACAATAAATTAAAGAATCACGTCGAGATTCATCATCACCAAATATTCATAAAGACAATCGAAAAGAAAAGCAAAAATCTTCGACGGCAAACACACGATTAAAAAAACAGAATAGTAAAATAAATGTTACTAAAACGTCTTTCATTAAAACAAGTATGTTTATTCACTTAAATAAAAAGACAAAAGTTCGAAAATAATAATGAACTACATTATCCTTTTTTTTTTTCTCTTCTTCAGATGATACAAATACTTTCGATACACATGAACATCGATTATCTTATTCACCAAATAAAATATTCTATCCAATAAAAGAGGTTTGTTTCAGATGCAATGTGCGTGACATAAAGAAGGATATATGTATGTGAAGTAGTCCATTAAAAAAAGAAAGATCTACCTTTTTCATAATTGATTATGTCTTACATGCTAGATAATGACAAAGATTTAAATAATTCTATTTATATATAGGAAGTATCACCTTCAAAGAATCGTCTAAGTCCAACTAAATCTCGTAAACATACAACACGTTCACCATCTCCATCTCAAACTAATCATCAACGTTTAACATCATCATCATTAATAAATAATAAATCTCGACAAAAAACTTCACATCATCTTCATCAGAATGAAAATAAAGAAGAATTCGTACGAAGTTCATCTTGTAGTGATTTATCGTCATTAAAATCTGATTTTATGCAAAAAGAACAAACAAGACTTGTTTTCGATCGATTTCTTACATATTTAACACGTATACAAACAATTTCCAAACAAATTCGTATTCAGAATTTTAATGGTAATTTTCTTTTTACTTTTTCCTAAAAATAAAATTTTCTTTTTAGATTCTGAAAGTCATTATTTATGGAATGAACTCGAAAATTCTCTTTCATCAGCTATATCCTATGCTAAAAATGATATACAATTTCAATTATCATTAGCACCATTACGAAATGAAATACTTGAATTACGAAAGTAAAATCTACAAAAAAAACAAAACATTTCTTTTATTTGCTTTTTTTTTTGTATTTTAAAGACAATTACAAACAGCAAATGTTCATTTGCATGAATATGATCTAACACAACGTCATAAAGATCAATGTTAGTTTCTTTTTTCTACTATTATATATATTTTATTTGTTCAATATAGATATTTATTTACAAAAGAAATTTGATACAAATCAAATTCAATATACTCAATTATTATTACATAATGAACAATTAAAAAATAAATGTCATTTATTACAAGATAAACTTGATAATTTAGAACGAAATAATATTCATCTTGTACAACGATTAACTCAACAAGATATTCGTTCTATTGCTCAACGTACAGAATGGAATTTAACTGATAATCGTTTTCTTCTACGTGAAGAAATTATTTTTTTAAAAGAAAAATTATATCATGTTTATGATGATGTTGCAACATTATTTAATCGAAATCATTCTCTCGAATCAGATTTACGCGAAGAAAAAAAACAAATTTTCATTTATGAACAACAATTTAAGTATGAAAATCATTTATTTTTAGATGAAATTCATATTCATTCAATTTTATTTTAGAAATTTAAAACAAACAGCACAATATCTTTTATATGATCTTGATAATCGTTCGTTTGAGGAAAAAATTAAACAATTTTTAAATAATATTCTTAATGATAAATATCATGAAAGAATAAATACAAGGTAAAATTTTATTGACAATTGTTCTTTCTTTCCATTTTTTTCTAAGTGACAGACAAATTTATTTAATATATATAAGTTGAAGTTAAGCAATAAATTGACTTGAAGTGTCATTGAAATTTTGTTGATGTCTTGACATAGAATTAATAAAATAAACTTAAATCGTTTAGGAAAAATTTCAATGATTTCATTAATTATTAATTGAAATAAAAAGAAAATTGTTTCTTTTTCTTATTAACAGTTCTTATCATCATCATCAAGCTCATATGACTCCAACAAGATCTGTAGATTCCAGTTCATTATTTTTTGAAACACCTCATAAATCAACTCAACCTACAACATATCGAAGAGAAAAAAAATTTCGACCAAAATCACTTTTTATAACTCCAACTATTTTAAATGATTCGAAAATTCTTTCAAAATTTCGTGATCATCGAAGTCCAACCATTGATATTACACAATGTTCATCTTCGACAATTGATGATGCAGATTCAACATTGACATCTTCATCATCAGAATCATTACATTATCAACAACGAAAACGGAATACTTTATATAATAGTTTACCACTATTAAATCAACCTCCAAATATTGATATGACAAGGTTTAATCAAATGTACAATAATAATGAGAGTAGTCCTGAATTTGATGAAATATCAAATTTAACCTCAAAAATATTTAGTTCAGAAAATGATGATGATATTCCTATTCGTGATATAAATATTTCAACAACTTCATCATCAACTATGACTTCCGATGCTGAAAAACTCATATCTATGTAAATCGTATTTATTTATTTATTTATTTATATATTATAAGTCAAATAATAAATTCTGATAGAGATTATTATTAATAGATTAAATTTCTTTTCTAATGTTACTTTTTCTTTCACATTTAAAATATATATATTGTTATACTTTCGATAATGTAAGTGTTCGATTAGATTACATTATTTTATTTCTTACAATACATGTATATTATCAAAAAAGAAATGATAAGAATTTTTTTAAATATAACAATAGACATATTTTTGCATACATATAAACTATTGCCCACTTCAAAATAGAAAAGTTGGGGTGAGCATTTTTTGAATAATTTTCGATACGAACAAGATGGAGAGTTGCGGTTTTCACTATTGGAAAGAGGCAATGAAGGCTTGAAAGATAGACCTTTTTTCGATCGAGTATCCGTGAAAAAAGTAAGTACTTTATAAAACAAACTCAGTCATGCAACACATCGTGACATGCTCTTTCAAACAAAAACAATTATGAGTCCGAAAATTTTATCTTAACACCCGCACTATTGATTTCTCGTACTGTAGTTGTACGATTCGAACGAAGAAGTACACTAAATTGTACGTGCGACGATACCATTTCTATTATTAACATCATTATGTATATTACTGTTGTCATGGCATTATTTTGATTATGTGTGACATCTATAATATGTATATTTATTTCAATTTTAATCCAATATTATACTGAATAGAATATTTTCTTTCAATTTTTGCATATAGAAGATTTAATAAAAAATCTATCAATTAAAAAATATCGATCAATATTGTACATATTGTGTGTCTGAGCAACACGAATATTTTGTTGATATTTATTAGTGTGACTTGTGTTCTTTTATTACGGTGATTTGTGTGATAGAAAATAAATTCAACTATGCGTCAATTAGGAACCGAGGAAAGAGCTGCTCTACTTTTAACAGCAGATGATGACAATAATGATGAGGATGATCATGAATTAAATAATTCTCAATCAAAAATTTCCAATGATAATTTTCCTACAATTGCTAAACGTCCAAGAACTTATCATCGTCATAATACTTCCGGTACTCATCCTATGTTATGTTTTACATTAGTTTTGGGAGCATTTATTCTCGGATGTATAAGTGGTGTTATTATTATGCTTTATCGAGTGTCGCAAGACGCTGAACCGGGTCATTTATTAAATATCCCTCAACAATTAACAAATGTTGATTTATCAATTCGAACAAAATTATTTGAATCAATCAAACCTACAAATTTTATGAATCTCAATTAGTAAAAACAAAATTTTTTCTAATCAATAAAAAAATAAAAACTCTATTCCTTTTTTTTTTGTTATAAATAGTTCAATCGACAATGAAAATGATATAGCTGATAGATTATATAAACAATGGCAATCATTATCTCCATCATTAAGTCATGTAAAAAAATTTTCATATGATATAAATTTATCAAAATATGCTCCATTTACTCAATGGAGTGGTATTCAATTACTTGATGGTAAAAATGAAAAAGAACTTTTAAAAGTTGATCGTTTATTAACTGAAGATATGATTTCATTTTCATCATTACTTAAATCTACTACTGTTACTGGAAATTCAATTTATTATGTTAATTATGGTCGACAAGAAGATTTTGCATATTTAATAAAACATAATATTCCTTTTGGAAATTCTGAAACATCCATTGTAGTTATGAGACGTCAACAAACAATTATATCTCAAACAGAACAAATTCATCAAGCACTTTATCATGGTTTTGGTGCAATTATTTTCTTTGATGATAATAAAGATTCTCAAACAACAGAAACTACAGATACTCGTCAAAATTTTTTTCGAGAATGGGTTCGACAATATGGCAGACAAAGTAAAAAAAACGTTTTTCTAAGAAAACTAATATATTTTTTATTAATTTTAGATGGTCAAAATCTTATTGATGGTATTATAAATAATAGAGATCATTCCATAGCTGTTTTAGTGCTTTCATACAATGATATTCAAAGTATATTTGCATCACTTCAACCTGATTCAAATGATTGGTTATTATGTCCATCTGAATGGCATAATAAAACAACATCATTAAAAATTGGTGGAACACTTTCAACTGTTAAATTACGAATAGTTGTTAATATGGAAGAAGCTAAAATACAATTACCAGTTGTTATGAGTTCAATACATGGTAAAACTGATGGTGAAAATTTTGTTATGATTGGTTATCAATTAAATTCAGTGCAACAAAATAGAATAGTTAATGAAATTATTCAAGCTTATATAAATCAAATTAAGAATGGTTGGAAACCAAAGTTTGTTTTATTGTTTTAAAAGAAAACACCTCATTATTTATTTGTTTTATTAGACGATCAATTTTATTTTGTGCTTGGTCAGGTTTAGATTATGATCATTATACAGGTAAGAATTTTGAATAAAACATATTTATATTCATAGCCACTATTATTTTTCCATCTGAATAGAATTCCAAATATTGTAGGTATTTTATATTCTAATCTATATATGCATGAGATTTTTTTATCTAATTTCATTCCTTTACCCAATAATATTCTGCTTATTTTTACTCGGAATGGCTTTGAATAATTAGAGAATATCAAGCTGAGAATATAGATGAAAAAAATTTTCTTTTTTTATATTATACTAATATTGAATAGAAATTATTAAATAAATTTTAGTTCATCAATGGATTTCAAATAATTACCATTTGGTTGATATGAATTTACTAGCATATATTGATCTTGGTAATGATATTACTGGAAATTCTACTCTTAATTTACATGGTTCATCACTTCTTGAACAAGTTGCTTATCGTGCTGCGAATTATATTCCAAGTCCAATAAAACATAATCATACGTGTCATCAACGACAAATGCCAACAACAATGCCAACAAGTTCAAATGAAGAAAATCATCATCATGAACATAGTCGAAAACGACGTAATGCTGAACATGAACATCATATGGATATGGATATGAATAATGAAGATGAAAATGAAAAAGAAAATGAATGTGAATCTCATAAATTATTAGATGAATGGATAAGAGCAGCTCGTAATCAAATGGGATCAAATAAAAGTATAGGAATAGTTCAACCTATTGATATTGATTCAACAGCTGCTTTATTTCAATTAAAACATGGTATTCCATCAATAGTAATTGAAATAACTGATGAACAGGTAAAGATATTTTTACTTTCTATTAACAAAAACTATTCATTTGATTAGTCATTGTTAATACATAATGAGTTGTATTTGAGTAGTACGAATTTTCTTCCAAGTAAGTTTATCGTAATTTGATTTTTCGAATAACATAGCATGATAAATATATTAACAAAAAAATTCTGATTCTTTTTATCTTCTTATCTAAAGTTTTCTCAAACGGTCATGATTTATTTTTCTATAAACATTTTTTTTTCATCGAGGTTAAGAGAACGAAATTAAAGATTATCGAGAAATGTTTATATCTTTCAGGCACATTCTCGAATGTTCTCGCGTGTTCTATATTACATCATACGAAGTAAAAAAAAAGAAGAAGAATTGATTATAAATATAAATACAATATTCAAATCAAATAATTTATTTTTTCTTTACTCAAGAATATTTTCGATGTTAAGTATTTATTAATTTCATTTTATAGGCAGTAACAAATGATACATTTTATGTTCGTCATTCACCTTCTATTATTGATCGAGAAATTTCACCGGAATTTTTTGTGGTTTATACACAATTTATCAGTGAAATCATTCGTCAATTAATCGATGAACCATTAATTGCATTTAATTTAACAAATTATGCTGACCAAATAGATAAACAAGCTATTGATTATTTTGCTCATTATGGTAGAGCATATAATGCATTATATTTTCATATTGGTCGTCCAGGTATGATATAAGAATTTTGTTAATAATTAAATTTGAATAAAATTTTGTAGAGGAATTTACAAAATTATTAAATGATTTAACAAAATCTATTCGACAACTTCAAACACGTATTGATCAAATACCGAAAACTGAGTATGATCAAATGAATAAATCCAAAAATTTTTGTTAATTTTTATATCTTATAGTTATGTTGGTCTTCAATCATTAAATAAACAATTATTTGAATTTGAACGTTTGTTTATTAGTAATGATCAACTCTATGGAATGAATTCAGCAGATAAATCTTATAAGTAAATCAAAATCTTATTGACTTTTTCTTTTTATTCATTTAAAAATAATCGATTTATTTTAGGCATATTTTATTTGGTCCAGCATATAGTCTAACTAATACTGCTGTACCATTTCCATTATTATCAAACGTTCTTTTTGAAATTCCTGAAGATCCATCATCTGAAATATGTTATGCATCAGCATTATATTGGTCAAAATTAAAAAAACATCTTTATTTAATAAATCGAACATTAAATGGATTCGATGGACTTCTTCAAAATGACAAATAACTTTGGAGGAAATTTTCTTTAGACGTATTTTGAAAACAGTATTTTATTTTCTATTTTATTTTATGTTGTCAGATGATTGTTTTTGTTTGTCATTTGATGATGATCTTTTTTGCGTTTTTTTCCTGCTTTATCGAAACAAAAATTCCGAGAACAACCATTGACATTGTTTTTTTTTCTGTTCTCCATTATCGTTGTATCTGATTGGTCTGAGTCATAGTTGCCCTGTTGGTTTTTTTTTCTTCATCCATCTTATCGTATATATATATATACACAAAAGCAAGCGTTGAGTGTTTCATTCAGTTGAGAATAACCTTTTATTCATCGATTTTTCTAGAAGCTTCTCGCATTTAAATTCGACTTCACAATGGTTAAAGACACAAAATATTATGATATTCTTGGTGTTCAACCAGCTGCAACTGTAGATGAAATAAAAAAAGCTTATCGAAAATTAGCATTGAAATTACATCCAGATAAAAATCCTGATAATGATCCGGAACAATTTAAACAATTATCTCAAGCTTGTAAGTTTATTTATTTTTATTGTTTCTTTAAATAGAAAAAAAACTCAAAATAATATTTTTTATTTTTCTTAGACGAAGTTTTATCTGACGAAAAAAAACGTTCATTATATGATCAAGTCGGTGAACAGGGCATGAAAGAAGGGCCAGGTGCTGGTGGATTTCATGGTTCAGATCCATTTGATATCTTTAATATGTTTTTTGGTGGCGGCGGCGGTGGTGGCCCATTTGGTGGTGGTCGACAAGATCATCGAGGAAAAAATCTCGTTCATCAATTAGCTGTTTCATTAGAAGAACTTTATAATGGAGCAGTAAGAAAATTAGCTTTACAAAAAAATGTTATTTGTGATAAATGTGAAGGTAAATTTCTGAAACAATTTTTTTTTTCGTTCTTAATAAATAAATATTTAATTTTAGGTCGTGGAGGAAAGAAAGGTGCTGTTTCAAAATGTGGAACATGTAATGGAAGCGGTTTTGTTGTTCGAGTTAATCAAATTGCACCTGGAATGATCCAACAAATGCGATCACATTGTTCAGATTGTGAAGGACAAGGAGAAAAAATAAATGCAAAAGATAAATGTAAAACATGTGATGGAAAAAAAATTGTTCGAGAAAGAAAAATTATTGAAGTTCATATTGATAAAGGTAATTAATAGAAAAATTTCGAATGAAAATATTTTAGTTTTGTTTTTTTAAAATTAGGTATGGATGATGGAAAAAAAATCACATTTAGTGGTGAAGGTGATCAAGAACCAGGACTTGAACCTGGTGATATTATTGTCGTTTTGGATGAAAAAGAAAATGCTACATTTAAACGAGATAAAACTGATTTACATATGAATATGCAAATAACATTAACAGAATCATTATGTGGATTTCAAAAAGCTATTAAAACACTTGATAATCGACAATTAGTTATAACATCATTACCAGGTAAAAATTTAAAATAAATTTTTAAGAAAAGAAACAAGACATTCATATTGTTTTTTCTTTCTCTATTAGGTGAAGTAATTAAACCAGGAGATTTAAAATGTATATTAAATGAAGGTATGCCTGTCTATCGAAATCCGATGGAAAAAGGTCGACTTGTATTGCATTTTGATGTTAAATTTCCAAGTAAAAATGAATTACGTCCAGAAGCTGTAACACAATTAGAAAAATTATTACCAGCACGATCAGAAGTTAGTTTACCAATGGATGCCGAAGAATGTGTTTTAGTTGAATTTGATCCTCGTCAATCACAACGTTCAAATCGACGTGAAATGTATGATGATGATGATCCACGTGGTGGTCAAGGTGGCCCAACACAAGTTAATTGTGCTACTCATTAAATTTTGCTTTTTTCTTTTTCTTCGTGTCGGTATGAGTATGTAACTTAAAAAGAAACGTATGAGAACAATCAAAACAAAAGTTAATAAATAAAGACGAAAAGAAAAAGAGTAAATTATTCATAGTGATGATTTTTATTAAAATATATAAATGATGGGGATCTTGAATATTCTTTCTTTTTTTCTTCCACTGATTATAATCAGATGTGGGTGTGAGTGTGAATGTTTTGTTCTTCTTTTATCCACATCCACCCGATTATAAAATATTTGGTAATGGTCAAAAGTTCAGTTTTACTCTGAACAAAATTCGTGTTTTCGTGTCTGAGGATAAAGTAAGACATTGAATTAATCTATTTAAACAAAATAAATATAAATATCAGTTCTGATATTTATTTAATGTATCAATCAATTTCAAAAATGAATCATACAAAAATAACTTGTCTGTTTTTTTTTCGAAGATAAATTGATAAAATCATTTATTTATTTTTTTGTTATAATATATATATTCTTTCACTGACATCAATTTACAAGGATGTATACAATATAGCAAATAATAATTCATTCTAAACTATATATTTATACAAAGAAAAATATATAATTTGCTTGTTTGAATTTTTATTATTACAAATCAATCATCAGTTGGTGTACGAGATTGAAAATTCAATCGAAATCGTTCAAGTCCAACATTAACAGCACAATGTTTCATAAGTGTATAACCACAATAAAATCGAGCAGTGTTTTCTGGAAGATCACTTAATTGACTTATACATTTCTTTATTGTTTTTGCTAATGCACCTATAATATGAAATTTAAAAAACAAATAAATAGCATCATTATATATCATATGATTAGAAAAAATTCGACATACGAATACAATTTGGATTCATTCTCATTGTTGAATCATCAACACATTTACCATATCGTTTTGGAATCTGTAGTAATATATTTACAGTTTCATAACATGTATTAATATAGTCTTGATAATGAGAAGAGTGCTTTAAACCCTATAGTAATTTAAAAGAAAATCTTTAATTTATTCAATACAAAAAAAGGAATATAACGATGATACTTACATGATAGAATTCTTGACATGTTGCTGCTTTACAGTGAAAATTGTCAAACGCCATTCCATCGATCAAAGATATACTCGTTAATAGTAATAAAACGAGTAGAATAATAGGCGTCTTCATATTGCATGAAATTTTTTGCATCTGAATATATAGATTTTGAAAAGAAAAAATGTTAGAAATTAAAGCACGTATTAAACACAATAATTTTTTCCTTCTTCTATAAACTGTCTATGTTAATAACTATTATTTTATGTACGTCATTATCTATGTGCAAAGAGGAAAAAGAAAATGAAAATATCTCACGAAGAATAAACTAATATTAATAGTGGGATTCTCATATTTATCCAAAAATAATATTATGTTTATGAAGGAAGTATAAGAATCCATCTTGATTAAACAAAACTATTAGGATAGATATTCTTTCCAGTATTACGCATTGTAAAGAGAACTGTTTGTATCAGTGCATTAAATTCTTATACAATTCATTTAGACTTATAGAAAGTACGCTAATTAGTCTTTTAACAGTATACATATATATATACTTAGTGACAATGACGTTAACAGATAAGATGAAAACATAAGATTATTTCATAATCGTCAAAAATGAAAAGATGTTTTTGAAAAAAGTAAGATAATCTAATCTTTATTTTTATGGTAGAAAAGGAGATTAAAAAAAATTAAATTATGTTAATGAATAATAATCTATTCTATCTTAAATAAAAAAAAAGAAAACATATTGTATGACGCTATTGAATTACATATAATTATCAACTTTAAGATGAAAAAAAGATTATAGCATTAAGAATTCTCTGACATGTGATAAATCATAATATCATTAAGGATAATGAAGAAAGTATCTCGAAGTTTTATCTATACTTTACGGTTCAGTACGATTAGCGGGTGGTTGAAAATTATTTGGGCGGAATGTCTATTCACTTTTGACCAGCAAGATACTATTACAGACGAGTCAAAAAGTATGAGTTAGAATCAGAATTTTGTGCAAGAACTGTGAGGGAGTTTTTGAAAAGTCTAAAAACTTAGTCATTGTTTTAATGGTGAATCAACACAGTTCTATTCTTTTTCAGATATGCTAAAATTTTTTGGAGTTGCTCGTTTTGAAAAGCAATTTCTGATGTATAAATAATGATTCTTACTTTTAGTCTCGAATTCTAATAGTGAAAATATAAAACTGTGCAGATTATTCTTACTGTTCTTGAGCAAAACTCTGGTTCTAAACTCATAGATTTTGACTCGTCTGCACTATTTTTTAGTTGGTCAAAAATGAGTAAACATTCCGTTCAAAACATTTTCGATCACTCGTTATATAAGACAAAAATGATACTAACCTATAGATGAATAACTTATAAATGAGATTTTTTTAACAAATTTATCTAATGAAAAAATTGAATAAATATCTTCACATAGAATAACTATATTTCGACCTACTTTTAAATGAGTAATCATTACAATTAATTCTATTATTAATATAAAAATATTCTATAGAGAATATATTTATATTAATAGATATCATTTCTGTTATGTTTATTCATTCGAAAAAAAACAGAAGAAATAAGAAATGTCTGAATTTAAATAGTATAAACAATCGAAATTTTTTCAGAATACGAAAACAAATACTAACGAACCAAATATAAATTGATAACATTCTCTAATTGAAATATAGAATTTCTATTCTCGGTTTTCAATAGTCAAAAACAATGATAAAAAAAATGCTTTTTTACATAGTTCCGAACAAATATGTATTTATATATAATGCCAATCATTTTATTGCTTTTATCGGTTGATAATATATATTGATGTAAATAATATATTATGTCAAAATAAAACTGACAAATATATGTTATTATTTGTAATAAATTTAATAAAATAATTAATAGAGTCAAGTACATTGCTTTTTTGAGTTATATTTATGAATAAAATTACAGAAAAAGTATATTAAATATTTGTCATTGTTGATTCGTTTGACTTTATAGTATATTCTTGATTGATATATCTTTTATTGAAAAGAACTTTATGACAACGAATACATTAAAATCAATGTATGAATCTGAAGTGTCTACGCACACATTCACAAAAGTTCAACAAATGCTCGATTGACTTCTATACATTAATATTTGATAAATATTTGCTTGAACTCAAATATAATATAGATATTATCATTGAAGAATATATTCTCATTTTTGTTTTAGAAATGAAACATTTCCTTTTAAAAAAGCAATAATTGACTATGAACATGATTTTCTTTTCTCTATTGATATAATAATTCTGATATGTATTATACTATATGTTTGCATAACATCTGAACAAAAAATGTTCTTTGTAGAGATTTATTTCGTTTTCCTAATGTATCAACAATTTTTAAACAATGAATAGAATCTTTATTTGGTAAAATAAAATAGAATTTTCTCTGCATGAAAACTGTTGATAAAAAAATAAAAATGCTTTTCTTTTTTATGTTGCAGGTGCATCATCATAATTAAGTGGAATATGATCAAGACCAAGATGTACTGCACAATATTTCATTAATGTAAAACCACAATAAAGTTTTGCTTTTTTTTCAGGTAGAGTACTTAATCCGTCCATACATTTTTTAATGGTAGAAGCTAATGCATCTAGAAGAAAAATTCAAATAATTATTTTATAGTTATAGAAAAGACGATGAAGACTTACAAATACATGGTGCATGTAATTTTCCTGTAACATCATCAATACATTTTCCATGTTGTGCAGGAATAGCTTGTAAAGAGTATACAGTTTCATAACATGTGTCAACATATTGATCACGAAGTTCATAACCAGCTAAACCCTAAAATATATATATTTATTTTTAGAGTGAAATAATATAATGAATTAATAATACTTACATAATGGAAATCTCGGCATGTTGGCACTTTACAGTGAAAATCATCGATTGCTATAGCAGTGATTAATGAAAACGTTAAAACGGAGAAAATAAGGACGTTTAAAATATATTTCATGGTAAATCTAGTTCGCTTAAATTTGAATAGAAGTAAATAGAGTGACACTATTTAATAAGTGATATACTTTTCGTTCTCTTCTATTAGTTATATAATGACTGTGTTTGTTAATCGTGTATCTATTGTTCTTCGATATTATATAGCACGAACAAAAGAAAAAGAAACATGGGTGGGTGCGCTGGAATTCTGTTAAGAATGGACAGTTTTATATGTAAGACATTAATTAAATGCAAGAACAAGAATAACATTCTTAGTAATATGTATACATAAGTGGTCATGGAATTTAAATCGCCACACTTAACATTCTATTCAAAAGAAAAATGAGTCAAAATTATGTAAACAGATTGATGTACTTGTAAATATCAAAATATGCTGTTTAACTTATTTAATTTACTTTTATAATAAATAGATGACGAAGAATATCTTCTATTTTGATTTCATTTTGCGGTTATGACATCAAAAAAGAAAACCTTACTAATAATTTTCAAATTATTAATATAGAATAAAAAGTTTACAGAATATCTTCGAGCAATTCTTATTTTATTCAAAAGTATATTTTCTATTTTCTTCTTTCAAATATTAAAAATCTTATAGTATATTTTCATCCAATTACAATCAACATGAGATCATTAATAAAAAAAAGTACTTCGAGTTGATTTTTCTAGAAAAAATATCTTTTGAGAACCTTTTTTGTAATAATACCCATAGGCTATATTTTAAATGCAGATCTTTGAACTTTAGATATAATTACACTTTAATATCGAATTCGGTCTGGTTTTTATATTTTACATTTGTCATTAGCAATAATAATAAAATGAATATCCTTATATAAATTCTTTTAATTTCAATGAAATTAGTATAAACAGGTCAAATATAATTTGGAGTATAGATACGAATGAATCTTTCAATGCTTAGGGCATACTGGAAGCTTTGATAAGATTAAAGACGTCAGTTAGATTTTATTATATCCTCAAATCAAAATTATGTGTGGAAGTCTTTTTTTAGATTATATCGTATCCGATTTGTTGCAAGAGACTATAATAACGTTAGTCGATTAGATATTTTTACAAGGAAGTACGTTTTCATATCCGAATTAGATGCATTTATTTTTTTCAGATCGCTTATCTTTTGTTATTATTAATCTTCATTATGAATAAAAATGAAAGGAAATTAAAATAATAAAAATAGATGAACAATATATAGTTGTAAGTTTAATCAAAACAAACAGCACAATTGGATTGAAATTCGTCAAAACTCGCACAAAAACGTTCTATAAGAGTAAAAGAATATTTAAATTTTCATTTCTTCACTAAATTCAACAAGAAGCAACAAAACCATAGAAATATTAATGTGTCAAAAACGAAAGTGAATAAAAAGTAAGCAGCACATATAAAACATAAACGTGTTAACGTGAGTAATATTGTTGACTAATAAAAAAAAGAATAGTGGATTGAGTGAGACGCGATAGAAAAAAAAAGCGCTGGTGAATGAATACCAATAGTATTCGTTCTCATGCTATTGATTCAGTTTCGAGCACCAAAAATATTTCGCATACATATACGACAGTTCATGAAAAACAACTACAACAATTGATTTCACCAGTGGAAACAACTTAATTCGTGGTTCAATGTTATAATCCAAAATACAATTGATGATTGATACATAATGAATGGCTATTGTTAAAGAAAATCTTAGATTTTCACTAAAAAATAATTCATATTTCTTTAATTATTAAAAAAGAATATTATTAGATGACATTAAATGATTCGATTAAAAATAAAAAATACATCACACTATTTGCATTATTTTCAATAAAACAAGGGCACAATAATCAAAAACAAAAAAAATGCCGTAAATAAGTAATAACGCAGCATGACTTTTTATATTTAGTTTTCATCACTTTTTCAGGAAATTGATTTAATCTTTTTAGCACCAAAACAATCGGAATAGTTTTAAAATATTAGCATCGTTGTTGACATGGTCTTCAATAGTTAAGTTATCTGATTCCTAATATTCATGAATCAAAATAATAATTCGCATATAAAAATCTTCAAGAAACAATCATACTTGTTTATTAATTATATCAATATCACCAACAGAATCAGTAATTAAACTATGTAATTCAAGCATACTCTATAATTTATAGAAAAATAGAATTTTAAATATTTGTTTTATCTTAAATTTATACTTCTCGATTCACAAATGGATATCCATCTTCGAAAACTTTTCTTTTTTCGATTTCTTCGCGAAGTTTTTTTTCATCGATTTCTCCATAAATATTCTTTAATTCATCTAATGGAAAAGGATCACAAAGATTTGGACCACGCATCATTTCATTTGCAGTTCTTATTATACAACTTGCTTTATACTTGACCGCTAATGTACCATATTCCGTAAGTGCATTATAATATCGTTTAGTAAGATTTGTTTGGTTTTTAATAATACGTTGGCGAGCATTGCTTTTAACAATATTAGTTTTCATTTCTTGTATTTCTTAAACAAAAAGATTCATTTTTCTTTATTTATAAGAGTTGTTTTGTTCTGTTGTTTACTGTTAAAATTGCTTTGTATAGCATCGCGTAACTGCGATATTTTTTGTTTAAGTTCATTTATACTTTCTAAAGATATAATTATTGATTTTTTCAAATGAAAATAATTTCAAAAAACATATAGTTTACGTTCATTTGGTTGTACTTCTTGTAACATAGCATTTAGTAAACGTCCAATAATATCTATAAGATCAGTTAATTTCCCAATATCTTCATCAAGAGAATCAACCTAGTTAAATTAATTTAAATAAAATAATTTTTTAAAATAATTTTTTCTTACTTTACGATGAACGTTACCCATAGATTTATCTTTCCCTATTTTATATGAAAAACTGAAATGAATATTTATTTCCTCTAAAAAAAATTATAGTAGTATTTCAATTTTCGAATAGGTTTTTAACAGTTTAGTGTAACAACTTCGTAATTTAAGCTTGTACAACTGTTCCTTTATTCAATAAATCCTTTTCCTTTTATATCTTTTCTAATACAATCAATTAGAGCGAGAGAGAGAAGCGAGCAAGAAGAGAAGAGAACAACAATTAATGAGGAGGAGGGAATAACTTTGTGATGAAGAGAAGAGAACAACAATTAGTGAGAAGTCAGAGACTCTCCCGTGTCCCCAATCTCAAAAAAATATTCAATATATTAAAAAACGAAAAACTAACAAATCTATTCTGATAATCGAAAATATTATATTATCATAAAAATTCTTCTTAAAATCTACATGCAGTTTATTATTATAGGAAATATCATATTTTTATAAAACAAAAACTAATCTTCTTCTAGTTGTATTTATAAACAGCTTATAACTATAAAATATAGAAAAGTATTTATTTTATTAATATTAAACCTATTCTAAACTCAACTAAATTCCAAACTCATCTGCGACATATATATTTGTTTTGAGACTCTCAAATTGAGAGTGAAATAATATAAACAAATAAATAATACTCGCATAATGAGAATCTCGATATGTTGGCACTTTACAGTGAAAATCATCGATTGCTATTGCAGTGATTAATGAAAACGTTAAAACGGAGAAAATAAGGACGTTGAAAATATATTTCATGGTAAATCTAGTTCGCTTAAATTTGAATAGAAGTAAACAGAGTGACACTATTTAATAAGTGATATACTTTTCGTTCTCTTCTATTAGTAATATAATAACTGAGTTTTCTTAGCCGCGTATGTATTGTTCTTCGATATTATATAGCACGAACAAAAGAAAAGAAAAGATGGGTGGGTGTGCTGGAATTCTATTAAGAATAGATAGTTTTATATGTAAGACATTAATTAAATGCAAGAACAAGAATAACACTTTCAGTAATATGTATACATAATTGGACATGAAATTTAAATCGCCACACTTAACATTCTATTCAAAAGAAAAATGAGTCAAAATTATGTAAACAGATTGATGTACTTGTAAATATTGAAATCTGTTGTTTAGCTTATTTAATTTACTTTTATACTAAATAGATGACAAAGAAAATCTTCTATTTTAATTTCATTTTGCGGTTATGACGTCAAAGAAGAAAATCTTAATAATAATTTTCAAATTATTAATATAGAATAAAAAGTTTACAGAATATCTTCAAGAACTTTTATTTTATAACACCGTAGGCTATATTTCAAATGCAAACCTTTGAACTTTAGATATAAATACACTTTAATATCGAAATTTCTCTTGGTTTTATATTTTATATTTATCATTACAACGATAATAAAATGAATATCCTTATATAAATTCTTTTAATTTCAATGTAAGTAGTATAAATAGGTCAAATATAATTTCGAGTATAGATGTGAATGAATCTTTCAATGCTTAGGGCATACTGGAAGCTGTGATGAGATCAAAGAAGTTAGTTATATTTTATTATATCCTCAAATGAAAATTATGTGTGGAACTCTTTTTTAGATTATATCGTATCCGATTTGTTGCAAGAGACTATAATAACGTTAGTCGATTAAATATTTTTACAAGGAAGTACGTTTTGGTGTTCCAGTTATTAAAAATCTATATTTTGTTCAGCAGTAGATTTCAACCAGGTATTTTAGATCGAAACAAATGAAGATAGAGTTTTACTGCAGTTTCGAAGTGTTGTTATTCAGATATTAGTTTAAAAAAGTTGGTATCTGCTGAACAAAAGTATTTGTTTCCAATCAATGCTTGTTTTAAATAAATTTTTATATGATTTTTCAGTGACTAATTATGTTAGTAGTTTTATTTTATTTTATTTTAATTGATATATTGAAGAATGAATAGTCATTGCTGAAACAGATTATAATATTTCATAAAATAAATAAGAATAAATTTGATTTGTTTCAATAATATTCTTCAGAATTACGTTTGTAAATTGATAGTTGAAAACGTGATCATGAATTTGTCCAAAAATGAATTCACAATATAGCATTCGAAGTCAGATAAGTATCAATTCAATCTTATACAACTACAAAATCAAGATGAAATTACAAGTTCATTTTTATTAGTCTTGAAATAATATGTAACTAAAGAAATAACATCTCTATTTAACCCTTCGAAGGTGTCCATATTTTATCACACGAACGATGTATGTGGGTTCACGTGGACCCACATATAAATATATAAGAAAAACGTGACTTTTCATCTGTATTGTATTATATAAGACAGATCGAGGTCTATATCGTGATCTCTTTTCAGTCACTGATACGCTTGTAGTGTATGTAAGATGCTGATTTTTCAAAAAAACAAAGGGATTACGATTATCGTGAACAAAAGCTAAGAGGATGATGAAAATATTTCGATAGACAGATAAATGAAGATAGAGAAACACATAATTCCTTACCGGCAGCATCAAAGTAACCAATCTTCAATAAACGGACCTTCGAAACAATAGAGGGTATACGTCATACGAATTAAAATCATCTAAATAACACGAACGTTGTCAGGGGGATCTAAACGGACCCACACTCTAGTTTTTGACTGCTGATAGTTTCGCAAGCAATTTTATATGTTTCTTATGGATCATTAGAAGACTAATGATTAGCGAAAAGATCGCTTCGAATTGCATAGAACTTAATTAAATTCTCATTGGTTACAATGATAAATATATGTAATACAATTTTCAGTTTAATACACCGACCTAAGCTTATCAATTTATGTACGTTAACAGAAACATGAAGATTCTATTTATTATAATGCTGATTTCTTATCAATAAATCATTCATATCATCAGAGTTAGTCATCTACAGCGATCCGATCTTTATATAGAACTACATGGTCACAGCGAAATATTTGACATAGATAAAAATAATTGTTCAAATTACATATTCAACTGAAGAACGGTAACAATTTATTGAGAAGAAGAACACGAAAAAAAAATGAACCATTGACACAAAGAATAGGATTTATATCAATTTAATCTTCACCATAGATACTTTTCTGTTTAATACATTGAATGTGTTTGAACTGATCGTGGTCTTTTAATTTTTTCTAAATTTTTCATCAAGAGATCATGAACACTTGTCTAAATAGAAAAACAAAAATCATATGAATTTAATTTATTTTTATAAAATATTTCTATTACATAATGATTTCGAAGTTCAAGTGCTATGAAACGCATTGAAACAAATTGTTTTTCATCTAATGATTGAACACTACGACGATAATCATCAACATGAGGATATTTAGCTACTTTTTTAACAAGTTCACCACGAGAGATTAAATATTTATATGTTAAATCAAGATATTGCGTTACATCTGTTTCTAATGTACGAACTTCTGCTAATGAATCCTATATTATAAAAAAATAATAAAATATAGAATAAGTTATTGATTATTTTTATATTTTACTTCTTGTATGCTAACACCAAAATTGTTACCGTCTTCAACTTTTGGTATCATTAATTGAATCCATAATTTAATAATAGCAATCTAAATAAGAAAATTAATTTATAAGAAATTTAAAATAAAATCTTTACACTATCAAGAAAATGAAAGATATATGGTTTGAGCTTTTCTTCTAGAAGTGTTATCAATGGATTTGATGGAACAACACCATGAAAAACATAAATTGGTGTTCCGCCAACAAAATCATGACTTGTTGATGTTGATTGAACTGAATTAGTATTATCTGATGAATCTGTTTTACGTTTTTTCGTCGTATTTGTACTTAACATCGATGTAGAATTATGACGATCCTATTATAAAAAGAAAAGATCAGATTCGTTTTTCATATTATGATAAATTCCGAATAATTCACGAATACAGAACGATAACGAAATGTGGCTTTCATTACGACATAGAAAAGATTTTGACGCACATATTTATATAAGATACAAAAACCCTACTGAGTCAGTTTTTGGCTCGTGTTCGTACACCTCCGAAGAAGTGGCTAAAATATTTCTCACCATTTCCGTACGGGGATGCGGCAAAAGGTTGAAAATGACTTGAAATATTTTTTTAAAATGTAGATAACACCCAATACTCATATGTTTTAACGAAATTTAGTTCACAGGTTAAATCATGGGTCTCAAAGAGTGAAGCATAATTATTCACAATTCATATTATAAGATTTAGATTCAGCATCTTTCAATCTAATAGACTTTATTCTAGACATACTGTTAACTATTTTTCTATCCTTTAGTGAAATAAAAAGTAACTTACATCACCGGATTCAAGACTATTACTGTGTGCAATAAGATCATCAGCTGTTGGTAATCGAATTTCAGCACGAACTTTTGTTACTTCACTGAATGATAATACTTGACTCTTTTAAAAAATAAATAATGTAAAATAAGACATATTTTCGAATTAAATAACAAACCGAAACAAGTGTATCAAGTTCAAGTGCTTTTTCAGGAAATTCCACACGTATTAAATGTTCAGCAGATATTTTTATTTTTGTTGAATAATCATCCATTTTATTTTATTTTATTTTCTAGAAAATTAATTATTTATCTAAAAACACACAAATAATTGATTAAAAAATGTTTGTAATATATATCAATTAAAAAATTACTATTAATATTATTACTACAATACAAATGATTAAATATAAAACTCGAACAAAACAATTACTATTGAGTTCAAATGAAATATAAGATTACTATTTTTTCGATTAATATAATGTAAATAATTGAAATAATGATATTTGTTTTTGATTTTTATCTAAATTTGAAATAAATTTATAAAGTTTATATGTTATTAATTTTAAATGATTATTATCATGTTCATTAAAATTTCGTTGATAAAAATAATCAATAATACATTCAAGAAGTAATTGAAAATCATTTATTGTTGTAAATGTAAATGATGATGATAATGATTGCAGAATTATCTGACGCATTATTGGACGTTTTATATAAGACCAATCAAATAAAAATTGTAAATTACCTGGATAAATTTGATTAGCAGCTTTTAAAATACCCATCATTTCTGCATAAATAGCTAAATGAATTGCTTGAGAATATCGATGTAATAAACAAATATAAAAAGCATCAAAATATGTTTTTGTTTGATTTAAAAATGTTCGTTTAGCTGGTAGATTGGTTTGTATAAGTAATTGTTGAAAAACAATTTTATTTCCACTACAAATTAAATGAATATGTGGTTGAATCATTGTACTTGATTCTAATTCAATTAAATTCATACAAAGATAATAAAGAAATTTAAATTCATTATAAATTAATTCAAGTTGATTTTGTCGCATAAATAATGAACATTCAACATATGCCATACGTTGTTTATAATCAGTTGGAAATGAATTTATTAAATTTTTTATTAAGATTGAATCATTTTGACAATTTATTAATACAGATGATAAATATGGAATATCATTTTTATCATTAATTATACTATAATAAGATGATAATGAAGATATTTCATTTGAATTTGAAGGTAATAAATAAACATGAATACCAACAGAAGAAAAAAGACGTGAGAGATGATAAGCAGTTGAATTATAACCATAAAGAACAATTGCATCCAAATATGAATAATTTGATTGTAAAAATGGTGGATCTGTTGAATGATATTTATTCATCTGAAAGATAAGATTTTTTACTTCAATTAATAATCTATTAATTCTCATCAACTGTGTTTGTTCTTAAATCTTATATCAATAAGAATTATAAGAACTCGATATATCTACATAATCATTTATCTACAAGTAGGAATCGCGTAGATCGATGTATAATTGAATTGAACTTAAACTCCAATGAATGAGATTTGCCTATTACATATAAATTTTTCATTGTAAATAGTCAATTTTAAGATAAAGAAGTCAAATAATAGTTTCTGAACAAACAGACAATCCTTAATTATCACGAAAATTAAAATCGAGAACTTATCTTCTTATTTCTTATTAACTTGATTATCATTTTAAATATGACTCTATATCTTTTGAATAAAACTTAATATCTATCAATTAAACTTCTACCTGAAAGAGATTATATCACTTACATCGTAAAAATATGTCTTAAAATATTATATAGTATTATCTACTGTTAATCTGTTAAGTATTGAATGATATTTATCTTAGGTAAATAGAGAAAATATAAATATCAATCAATATATATAGATAATTTACGAAAATATTCAAGAAATAATAGATATATTGATAGAATCATATCGAAGGGCAAGTGTGAATTTCTTTCTATGCTTTGTTCCAACAGCGGAGTCTTATCCTATTCATCTCATTTTTTTATTGGTTAATTTTTATCGATCAAATAAAAATCAAAACGCTAGTTGTCGCTTTTTAATATGCAAAACTGCGAGAAATTTTTCTATTTTTTATTCAAATTTAATTAATTATTTGTTTATTACAATAAAATTATTCAATAATATTCATATTATTATAATATATTTTGACAAAAAACTCAAAACAATTCTCTAACTAACTCGATTTTCAAGCATAACAGTTGTACTGTCGCTTAGTTGCTAAAATGCTTCGCATCAAGATCGATGGTGAACAAGAACAAGGAACTTTACTAATCGATGTAATATCCTAAACGAAATTTTTTTATTTTCCTTACATTATATATTTCATTTCAGACTTTAAAATTATCTGAACAAAAATCAAGTCCTAAAGTTTTAATAAAAAAAGATGTAACAACACTTCATTTAGATAATCGGTTTGTTGAAAAACAAAAATTTTATTTTAAAAATAACAAAAAAAATTTTTTTTATTATTAAATAGTGAGATTCGTAGCATTCCATCACTTGAGATATTTCCGAAATTAGTTTGTCTTTCAATTGATGGAAATCATCTACAAGATTTAGGATTTATTAAGAAAAATTACACATTAGCAGAACTTTATGCTGGAAATAATCATATTTCAACTGTTAAAGGATCATTAAGTCAATTGACTAATTTACGTGTACTTCACTTACAAAATAATCAAATATCAAATATCAACCATCTTGCTCATGAATTACGACACTTAAGTGCACTTGAAGATCTTAGTAAGTTAAATTACTTCAATAGAATTCCTATATTAATAAATTTAATTTTTCTAGATTTATTTGATAATCCAATAACTTTTGTTCGTGGTTATAAATCAACAATGATTGATTTATTTCCGAAATTACGAATTCTTGATCGAAAAAGTATTTAATTAGAAAAATCATGGAAATTTTTTTAATATATTTTTTTAATATTTTAAGCTATTTCGAATACAGATCGTGCTCGAGCATTTACTGATCGTCATCCAGATCGACAGGAAATCTTTAATCGTTTTGGATTTACTTTTCATATTGAACCAAAACAAGAACAAACTTCATCAGGAAAACGATTACGATCTTCACCTATCGTATCAAATTTACCAATAAAAGAAACCAATCGAAATCCTAAATCTCAAGAGTAAATCTTTTTAATATATTTAAAAGGATAAGAATATTGAATTCGAATTTTTTTTGCAAATAGACAATTATTAAATGAAGCTGTACGTAATCGAGCATTACGACGAAGTTTAACTGAATATTCACAATTTGATTGGAGTAAAGTTCCAACAGGTGCCGAAAGACGTAAAATGGATGCGGATAATGCAGTCACACAACCCGATGTTGTTTCTATTTTCTTTCAATAATACAAAATTTTATTTTCATACAAATATTTTCTTATTTATATTTTCTTGAAATAAATATAACATTTATTATTCGCTTTGATAAATTTTTCATATTTCATCTACTTTTTTCTAAATACTTTAGAAATATACCACTTATAGGAAAAGAAAAGATATCAACTACTTAACATTTGATTTTTAACTTGCAGTTAAAGAACGAATGAATTATTGACTATTTAATTTCTTTTTCTGGTCTTCGCAAATATTGTTTCAAGGATTAATAAGTTAGTATAGTTGAGTAATCGATGAATCTGTATTAGAAATGAATTATTATCATTTATATAGCTTCTTCTATTAATAGAAAGAAAAAAAATATTGGAAATAATTCTTCGTTACACAACAAAACAGAGAATCAAGATTAAAACTTATCCCATAGTTAAACATTATCGGAAGTTTATAGAATTTATCAGTCTTACATTATTAACATTTCATTAAATAAATTATTTTTATTTTTACATTATAACAAATGTTAATTATTTGGTGAAAACTTTTACAATCTAGTTGAAATTATTCGTCCTAAATTTAAACAAGAGGATAACTACCAGTACTTGCAATACCACATTGATTGTTTTTATTACGACTCATCCAAACATAACCTTTATTACCCCATGTATCACCCCAAGAATTTTTGGCAATATAATATTGTTTACCTTGATATGTATCATAACCAACAAGAGTAAATGAATGATCAATATTTGTTGTTGAACAATTAGGTTCATCATAGACACCTGATGAATAAAACTGAAATGAACTTTGTGAAGCATCAATTGCTACTGATATTGGACCAACAGTAGCAATAGCTATTTGTAAAGCTGTTTCATTTCCTTGTGGAAGATCAACAAAACCCTAGAAGAAATACAATTATTAAACAAAACAAAAGTAATATACTAACTGTATCTGTTGCTCCAACATTTGTTCGATTAAAACGACAGTCACCTTCTTTTGCTTCATATGGGTAACTTGCTTCTGTATCTATTCCTTTATTTACTTTGATGTATTGAAAGGAAGAATCCATTAGACCACCGTTACAACCTTGATTACCAAATTTACCAGAACAATCCATTAGATTCTGAGCTGATAATCGAACTAACTCTCCTGTTTTAAGAAAATGTTGACCTTCTAAAGCACAAGTTGCTGTAAATGCCCAACATGAGCCGCATTGCTGTTGGTTTTCAATAACAGAAATTACAGCACCTTTCTGACGCCAATCTAATCATAAACCAATATAAGATATTTCATCGTGAATACTTTATATTATTATAGATACTTACCAATAGCATCAGGTATATCGACATTTGATGGTGGATGAAATGGACGTCCAACAAATTTTGTCGATGAATCTGAAGGCATCTTGAAACCACCTAACATTGTTCGAGCAAATTCTTCATGTGTCTATAGAGAGATATAAAAACAAAATACAAAGAATTAAATAATCTATGAATATACCATATCACCAAATTGATTCATTTTCAGTGTATATGAATGTAAACCTAAGTCAGTTTCAAGGTTATGTTGATTAATCAAAGCTAAATTATTTTTAAATACACCAAATCTAAAAAGATAAATCATTTTTTTTTGAATATGAAAATATTATTATTAATATTTATTATTTTTATTACCGATATTGTTCATCTTGTAGACTGTTGTATTGTTTGTTATGAACATTTTTAAATAAATTCCAAAGTGTTGTATGTTGATTTTCTGCTTGTGCAAAAGCCAAAATAGTGATAAAAAAGTAAATCAATTTCATATTGATAAAAAGAACAGTTGTGAAAGTATGATGAGAGAGAAACTTTTCCATTCTTTATATAGGTAAGATAAGAAAAATGCTATTTCAGCATGGTTTATTATTGGCATCATGATGATGATTATTGACTGACCTAGTTTTATAAATGAAGAATCCAAATAAAGAAGTAACCTTGAAATATTTATTGACTTTATTGATTAAATGAGAAACGATGAGAAAGATTCCATGAGATGAAAACAAAAATCGGCTAGTTTGGTACATTCAATCAAGGTTATACATTGTAAAAGTCTATTTCTTAGCATAAAACTTTTTCTCTGATTTCTTCGGCTGCAACAATGAATGAAAAACTATCGACGAATAATCTTGTAAATGTTTTTAACAGATACTATTACAATTTTTGCATATTTCTTATCAACAGCCAAATAATATGTAATAAAAAACATTTGTAATTAATATAACCTATAATCAACAGATAATATTAAGATCGATTACCTCATATGAACATTAGTAGAATATATAAAATCCTTATTTGAACAGTTTATACTTTTAGTTGAATATTTCAATGAAAATAAAACGAATGTTATAGATATCTACTAAACAATGCTTGTTTATTTAAACAAAACTAATAACATCACAAAAAAAGGCATGAATAAATATAAAAAACCAAACTTCTAAAATATTACAAAACAACACGAGTTTGTAACATATAAACCATAACTGCAATAGCTAATGCAGAAAATATATGTTTAAGTGTATGTCCACTAATAGTTTTTGATGTTAAACGAAATATTTGTTTATCTGCTATTTCACATAATTTAGCCAACGTATAAAGACCACATGCGAAGACATAGTATATTGTTTGACTGTAAACTGATGGAGAAATTAATATTAAAATTGGTATGTAAATCATTGGAAAAAACTGAATGAGAATGTATGGACGTAAATCATCACGATAATACCAATAAGCACAGGAAGCAAAACCAGCAGCTAATAGAAATGGATATAAAGCTTTGCCTAAAGATGGATTAATACGTTCATCAATTAATAAACCAAGTATAGATGTAAATCCAATTGTCATTGGTAATCGATCCCAAACGAGAGTAGCATTTGATGGTTTTAAATGATAATAAGATGAACCAATAAAAACAAATACACTACTAATAAATAAAATAATCCATCCAAGTTTTTCAAAAGATGTTAAAAAAACAATATTCGTTGGAGATAAAAATAAACAAAGACCATAAAGACCAACAAATAGAAATGGTAAATTTGATAATACATCGAATACATTCGAAATTTTCATAAATGATATAGATGGAATTATTGCACGTAATGAACGTCGATCAGCAAAATTATGATAAGATTGATCTTGAGGGAAAGGTGGTACAAAAACTTTCATAAAAAAACACCAAAATATAGCGGATAATATAAGAAATACACCTTTTGCCATTGATGATACATGTTCATGAATAATACAATAGTACTAAAATAAATCGATCTTATATATTATTTAAAGTGATGGAAAAATACTTACGCAAAAACTTGCTGTTAGAATAATACATGTAGTAGCAGCCATTATTGTTGAATAATGTATTGGAATTTTAACTGAATGATCATTTTTATTCATATTTTGTCTTTTCTTTTTAATATCTGCTGGTACATTTCGATTAGGTTTTTCAATGGTAACTTTTGGTGTATATTTCGATGATTTAGCTGCTTCTCGATCTACTTCTTTTACTGTACTAGTACGTTCTCGAGTATTGTTATTATTATTATTATAATCAGACATTATTAAAAAAGAATCTGAAAATATTTTTCCTATATTAAATATAATTCAAATTATATAACGAGATATACATAAAGATTCATTGTTTTGATTATTACTATGTCTTTTATATTGATCAAGATATAATTTTGTACGTCACTATATTTGTTATGAAAACAAAAATATATGCGTAAACTCGATGACCTTTTTCTTAATCAATAAATAATATGTGAATCTCATGCGCAATGTTACTGTTTGTATAGAAATCAGTTGAGTACCATTTAATGAGTTTACCATTCTCATTATTTTCACATAATAATTCCATAAATAGATACTTATTAGAACTTTTAAATATATATTTTCATTTTGATTAATTGAAAAGAAAAGAGAAAATAATTCGTGTCTGAAGAACGAAAAAGAAAGATATACATTCAGGTAGAATCTTGCTATAGACGCAATATAAGTGGTCTAGCTGAATAGCGAATACTAGAAGGTTATTCTACTGTTATCAGTACTCTGAAGCAACATTGCATATATATATATATATATCAAATAACGACGGTATGCAAAGAAATACATAAAAGCAGAAGATTAACGTATGCTGTCTCCTTCTTTCGTTGGTCGATAGACGGTATAATCTTGTATACACTTAAAATCAATGATATTTACAATTATAATTAAAGTTTCATTGCTATATTGTAAAACATTATATTTCGATCATATGTTAGTCTTTTAAGAATTAGATAATAAATCACGAAAGATGATTCTGCTTGTTTGAATAAAATTTTCTTTATCATACTTGTATATTTAATGCAGTATGAGCTTGGATAGATAGAAAGAATTAGATACAACCATAGATAAATTATGATAGGAGGATAATCGAACTGGATTCAGTACATTATTAGTACACAAATTCTGAATTCAATGTGAGCCAATATAAACAAGAATATAGTTTTAAATTTGCTATATGAAGAATCACAAAAACTAATAATTATTTTATAAAGTACACAACAGAAATAAACAAGATACATATGATAATTCAATTAAAAAAGATCTGTTAGTTTGACCAAAAATAAAAAAAGCCCGATCTAACATATTTCATTATTGTTCTCGATTTTCTTATTTTAAAAGTTCTTTGTTAGTTTAATAATTGAATCATATATACAAAAAGAATGAAAAAAAAAAAGCTTGTTTAGAATAGACAAAAGACTACAATATCAATAAATGAACATAAAATGTTTAAGCATGATGTGGAGCCAATGATGATAATGTTGGTGCTATTGGTGCTGTTGGTGATGGTGGCGGTGTTTGTTTATGAACATCGTTCATATTATTATATTCATCTAATCCTGCACGAACAGAAGCTAGAGCATTCAATTTAGCTTTATAATTATCTGTGAGAGGATTTATAGGTTTAGATACAATTTCGCCACTAAAAGAAAATCTATTAGTAGATATTTTATTTTTATCATGAAAAACTTACATAATATCAATAGCCCAATCACGAAAGAATGGAAGAAGTTGATCATCCATAGCAGGTAAGACAACAAGTCGCTAGAAATCAAAGAAAAAATAGTACAAAAACAAAAAAACTAAAATTATTTCAAACCTTAATTTCATCTCGAATTCTAGCTGATAAGAAATCTTCGAGTAATGTATATTCATACTGTTTTTCACCATAAACAGGTACGACTTTAATAGTAAGATCAGGCATTTCTGGAAAGCCAACCCTAAGAAATAATACAAAGCAATGTAAATTTTTATTGATACACAATTTACAACAATATTCACTTACCAAATTCGATCACTTGGTGGTGGAGGAATATTCAACTAAAAATGATAAGAATTCATAAAATGCTCAGAAATTTATGCATCTGGGTTTCCTAGAGTCTTTATGAAAGTTTCTACAGAATTGCTAACTATATGTAATAAATTTCTAGATAACTGAAGAAAAGCAAATTAGTTGAGTAAACTGATATTTTATATAAGGAGAAATGAAACGAATGAATGTCATACTTATAAATTTAAGTCGGAGAAAATTAGAAACACAGCGTATCGAGTCAAATTTCATGAGCTGCAGATATTCTAATTAATATAAAAATCAACGTATATTTTATTCTAATTAGAAAAGATTCAGGACAAGTGCTCGTGATTTTTTATCTTAATCTTGGTATTTAAATGAATGCAGGTAAGCAGTCAAGGGAAAGACAGCTGATTATTGCTTAGGCTTGATTAGGAAGATGATTAGAAGGGCAGCTAATCATCTTCCTAATTAGCCTTAATTACTCCTAATCAATCCACATCTAGCCCCGCGAGCAACTGTCCGTTTTCCATTCTTGAATACTATTTTAATAAATCAACTTACTGTAAGAGTTCCACTAAATCCAGTTACTTCAATATCAGCACCAATTTCTTTTTCAGAAAATTTCTCAAATAATTTTTTAACAAATGGTATATTCGCAAACATCTGAAAATATGGATTTAATGCTAAACTGGTTAATGCAAGACCAAGTTTCCGTGTAACAGCCCTAGAAAATAAAATATTCATCTTTTGTTTTTACTTTATTCTAAATTTCAATTATACACTTACATTTCAGGAATTTCAGGTTCTTTAGCTAAAAGTTTTTGTCTTTGAACTAAATCATCTTCATCGATACGTTCTTCATCTTTATGTACAAGTTGTGCTGAATGATGCTGAGCAAACATTGGTTTATGTTTTTTTGGATCATAATTAATTAATTTTTGAAGTAATACACGTGATCTTACCGATAATCTAAATAAAATCGTGATTAAATAAATCATTTTCTTAAAACAAAAAAAAGTATTTACTTAAAATTTCCACGATAATGAAGAAATAAATTAAACCAAATTCCTTGAGTATTCCATTGCATCGGTTCAACTTTTAATATAATTGGAAATGTATTTCCTATATCAATTGATGTAACACGAAGATCTTTAAAAATTTTAACCTATAACAAATAAAACATTGAAGAAATATTTTTGTTTTTTTTCTTTCAAATCTACGTACAGCAACTTCTTTTAATTTCATTTCAACTTTATCTTTAATTAAATCTTTAAATACTGGAATTTCAAACATATCACATAATAATCGACGTGCAAGAAAATTAATTGTTATAGCTGTTTCATCCAAACATTCAGGTGATTGAAGAACGTGTTGTAAACTAGCTTCACTTGGTGTTGTTTTTCTTGATTTTCTTACTATGGTTCGTTTAGTACCAGTTATATCTTTTTCTATATCATCAGGATCAACTTCCTAAAATATAAAATTATTTTAGAAGGGAACAAAAAACAAATTAATACACAATCAATAACATAGAAATCTATATAGAACAAGAAGCAACACTAAGTATCACAAAACAAAAATTAAAATAATAGGAACACACTTCAACAGTGAAATCAAGAGGTGCAGTTATACGTACCCGTAATGAATCTATAGTTTCATTAATATGAGGACCAGTTTTTTCAAACTAGAGGAAAGTTTTAAAAGTGAATATAAACAAGAATTTATCAAAATTTTAGCATTTGTACAATAATCTTTATGAATGCTTTTTATTAACGAAGGTCTTATAGCTTCGATTATTCCGTGATCCATTCTGATTAATTCAGAAAATCTCAATATACAAGATCAGATATCAACAAAATAAAATATGATACTACAACAGAGATCGAAACGAATAAATAAATATCTATTCGATTCGTGTTTAGTCTCCGAAGAAGATATGATTAATTCTTTTAAAAATTAAAATATTTTATAAATATACTTGAGCTTTTTCTTGGAATTCTTCAGCATTTGCGTCTGTTTCAACAATTGCAGCATTAATATCAGATTCCGTAATAACATTTGGTACAAGTTCAATATCAGCATCAGTTTGAGGTAAACGACGATGTAATGATGGTGTCGTATCACCTGAGTTATTTTTTCCTGTCGTAAGATTATTTGTTCGTTCAATTTCTTCTTTTCCTTTGCGTAAAACTAAAGATAATCTAAACAAAATCATATTTTAATAAAATATAAAAACAATTATTTCTTTGTTAATGAAATTTACTTATGAAACCATTCTTCTTTTTGTGGACAAGTTTCAAACCAAATGGAAAGAGTTGTTGCAGTATTTGTAAAGAAATCATTTGTATCAAGTTTAGATTTTTCTAATTGTTGTTTACTATTGATTTGTTTATCAAGTATTTGTAAATCTTGTATAACAATAGGATAATCATTCATCCAATATTTAGCACGTGTTAATGTTGCTTCAGGAACAAGTATCATTCCAGCTTCTACAAAAATTTTATTTTCAAAGCAAAAAAAATTAATTCTTTCAATTAGAAAAGTAGAAAATTTTTACCTTTAATTAAATATTCTCGATAACCAATAAATTTAACTTCTTTATCGGATTTTTTATCTTCACTCCATTGTTTACTTGCAAGTTGAATTATAAGGCGATATCCATCAAGACGAATGTCACATGGATAACGGACAAAATCTTCATCACGATCAGCATCATAACTTTGAAATGCAATCGATGCACCTGTCACCTTAAATAATTAGAATTTTGCTATAAAAAAAATAATTTAAATTTAAAATTAAAACAAACTTGAATATTTGTATTTTTATCTTCTTTGTCACATTTTGTAAGCATAGCTTCAAGAGTAGGAAAATCAACCCATTCTTCAATACCCTTTTCTTCTGTTTTTGCATTAACATATAGCCGAAAAAGAATATAAACTATTGCACCAGCAAACAAAATACCAACCATTAAACCAGAAAAATACGATGAAATCGGTTTCCATAGTGAAAAAATTAGTGAAATTATTCCAACAATAATCTATATATATATGCCAAAATTTTAGAATAAAAATTTTGTTAATTATTAAACTTACTGCAACTGTATAAATCGTATTATTATCGATAATAACTTTTTTCTTTATATCTTCACTACAATTTACTTGAAATTTTGGTCCAGCTAATAATGTAGCAGCACGTCGTACGGGATCTTTTGACACAGTAACAACAGTAGGTTCTGCAACCATTTCAACAGGATCAATTTTTGTTATATTACGTTCTTTTACATTATCTTCTGTTTCATTAAACGTTTCTTTATTTAATGATATATTATCTGATAAATCAAATGTTTTTAAACTTGTTGGTGTTAATGTTGGTTGAAAAACAGGATTTGCTGAATTAACTAAAGATGCTGAACTTGCATGAGTAGTGCTCGTCGATAAAATTGATGGATTAGCAACAACTGGTCTAATACCACCAAAACCCATATTTAATGCTAATTGATCAATTGTATGACGTGGTGGACCTGAATGCGGTACACCAGCTGAAGATGCATATGATGTTATTGATTGTGAAGATGCTATTGAGTCAGTATCTCCTATTAATTAATAAAATTAATTAAGAGAATATATATTATATAAGGATAAAATCTAAACTATGTCATTCAGTTGTATGACATGCAATTAGATGTAAATTATCACTCACAAAAATCATTGCTATACTTTGAAAATTTGTTAATTCTATTTGAAATGTTAGTTTAAATTTAATCTAATTTATATAATATAATCTTTTTCCCAATATCAATATTTAATACTGATTTTATCGAAAAATAGGAATTTAAATTTTCTTTATATTATCATTAGATATGAAAAACAAAATCAATACATTCAATTTAATATTTACGTATATATGAAATATATTCAATATTTGTGTATCATTCTCAAACATAAAATAAAATAAGAACAATTTTTCAATAAAAATAAACTAGAAAATTTCTATTCATTTTATTGAATGGAGACCTATAGACATCTATAGATAATTAACATATTCTTAAAATAATTCTTTCCTGTAATAGATTTTAATGTCTGACATCTTACAAAAATTCTATATTTCAATAAAAAAAAATTTTTTTCCTAGGGTTCATACAGTACACATATTCTATATATAACCTTGATACATACCATAACCTTTGAACGTTTGTCTATTTTCAAGATTTACAGATGGAATATCATCTGGTAAAGTGAGTGAAGCATTATTAGCAAGTATTGATATATTATCGGTAGAAATTGAACTTCGATGATCCGATGTTGTTGAATGAGTTCGATCTCTAACAGCTTCAGTGATATCTTCTTTGAGTGATGAAATTTTATTTGATAATTTTTCTAACACTTTCGGTTTATGAATATGAAGATGATGATGGTGGTGATGATGATCGTCACTATCCATCTTTGTTCGTAATTAGAATTAATACGTACAATAAAAACTAAATATCTACAGTAATACACAAAGAATTTTTATACTTAATTCGAATGTTGTGGTTCTATGATAGTTTATTGTTAACAAGAAAGAACAGTCAAGAAAATGATAGAACGAAAGAAGAAAAAAAAAAGAAACATGTCTCGACATACACAGAGTAAAAAAAATCAACACTAAGTGATAGAAAATATGAAAGAAAAACGGACAACTAACGACGTCGTTCGAGTATGATTGGTGGATAACAAGATGAAACAGAACAAGATGGATTGTAATCATTTGTTTGATAAGTATCCGAGTAAATGAATGACGATGTGTTAAAGAAAAAATGGGGTCCAAAAAATACTACCATGAGGTATATATGGCGAAAACACATGTCACTATTTGATGATCGTTATGTAATAAACATTATTCAAGTCTACTTCTTTTTTTGTACAAATATTTTGTACATATAAATAATGAAAATATATTATCTGACACTTTTTAATCAAAAAGCTGATAATTTTGTTTCAATGGTATTTTATACGTTGTCAAGGCTTTTCTATTTTTATAAAAGCATATTAGATTATTATCTTATCCGAATACAAATCACATACAAACATTCTAGCACTTATATAAATATATTTTTTTTCTAATAATCAATCACATTAATAGAAAAATTCAAATGAAATAAGAAAGATAAATTTTTAATTTCAACTTTATTAAATAATGATCTCCTATACAAATTACAGATTAGTAATATATCAATCGTTTAATATATTTCAATACAATTCTAACTATATGAAGTAAAATGATAATCAAGGAGTTCGAATATTTTACGAAGACAATCTAGCCCTTTTATCTAAAATAGAAAATATTCGCACACTTCTTCAATCATATGTATTATAACTATACAATGAACTAAATTGTAAATCAGTTATATTTTTGATGACTAATGAAATCTAGTGGTACAATACATATTTTAAAGTATTTGTAGAAAATTTAAGAAATATTGTTTATGTAAATTAAAATAGTCATGGATTATCTAAAAGATTGTTATCGTACATATTTATTTTGCATCCATATTAAATTGATATCAATAATGAAATAGGAAATAAATAAATAAACAAGTACAACAACAGTATCAACGAGCCACCAGGAGATAATTTTTCTACAGGAAAAGGTCTGCATTAGTAGAAGACACACCAAAAACTGTTTGTTATCAACGTGAAAAATTCAGCAAGTCCAAGATTTTGGAAAGAAGGTCGATTATAGATAAAAACTACATTGAACTATTCATTCAAAATAGTGTACATTCGTTTTTTGTTCATTTTTGCTAGAAAAAAACTAACAATTATTCTATTCAATTTCTCGGTTAGCCAGCTGCTATTATAATATCATTTTGAAAATATTTAAACATGACTGTCTCGTTCCAGTATCATTCGATAATACTTCAAGTGTAATATATTGCTTCAAATTATTCATATATTTTATTATTAACAAATTAAAAAGAAAATTTATTATTTGTTTAAAAAAAATACTACTATCGGAATTTTTAACGACCTGCCGATTTCACCATTCAATGAAGGTATGTTTTCAAATTAATTTTAGTGGACGAATTCTCAGAAAAGCTAACAAATTCTGCAGGAAGGTGTTTTTTCCGAATTATTTTAGTAATTTCATGATTCCATGGATCCTTTTCAGAATAGTATGTAAATAATTTTGAAGATTTTCTTTTATAATAATTAAAAGAGATCAATGCAAGCTACAAAACCAGTGAAAAAAATTAAAAACCCTTTTTTAAAACTTGTCATGAATGGTACTTTAGGAAAACATTTCTCATGCATACGTATTTGCACCCGACTGTTCCTCTACTGACTAGTGAAAACCGCAGGTCACTATAACTTTCCATTCAAAACTTATAAGCTTTTCTTCAAACGTTCCGATAGTAATACATAGAACAAATCTTTGTTATCTCGTTTTATTAATTACTATAATTTTTTCTTTCGAATAATTATCATGATTATGATTTATAAAAACTGAACTAGATTTAAAAATTCTTTTATAAGTCACTGAAAAGCTTCGATTCAAGTTATAATCGTTATTTTAAATATTATCGATATTAAAGTATTGAGAAAGGTTATTTTTATATTAATATGTAGACTATTTTCGTCATTGTAAGATCAAACAATAAGATCTAGACTTTGCCATTTTTCAAAGTGCTCATTGGTGCAAAATTTTGTTATGCTATAAATAGTCTTAATGTTTATAAAGAAAAGACTGAAGACGTGTAATCTAATCTTGATTAAACCGAGACAAATTTTCCGGTACATCCTTATTTTCATGTTTCAGCATTATAAATTAGCATTTATATCTCTCTTCAATTTCCATATTTAGACCTCCTTAATATAATGATGTTAATTCAACTGTATTCTATTCGCTAGACCATAAGAATAGCAAATAAATGAGAAAAATCTATTGTTATGATTGGTTTTTTATAAAACGAATCTTTCACACATACATTTAAATCTAAAGATCTACCCATTTATATATATATATTGTAATATTTGATTTGAATAATACGATCTCAATATAGAAAGCAACCATTGTTCACTTTCTTTCTTATTCAGAAATAAACTAAATATTAAAAAATTGATAGACAAATGATATAACGAAATTTTAGTAATAGAAATCATTAATCGATATAATGATTGCTTTCGCTTAAAAATAATCTATTTGAATAGTTGAGAATAGGAAAATATTTTTGTATTATCAATTTCTTCATCGCTTTAGCTTTCTACATTTATCGAATTGTCGATAAAGACGTCCGCTATTCAATTATATTTCGACTATTAAATTATACTGCGCAGTCAGAAATGACCTAGATGTAATTTGATTTTGTACTATATTAATTTTAACATATTGCAGTATAATTCAACTTGCATACAATCGAGTCAAGTTCGATACAACTTCAGATTTACAAAAACAAATACTTGGTGACCTGCATACAATTGTATCTATATGTTATACTTGAATCACATGTCACTATGACTTTTATCATTGTTTGTAAGTAAACTATTTATTAAAATTGGATTAGATTGATCGAAAAAGACGAAGATTTTTCAGCTGATGAGCGTACAAAGAAAAACCTCAATAGAATTTCTTCGATGCTTGTACAAAAATTTGAATGAATGATAGATGTTAATATTTTAAGTTTCGAAACGTATAATGGATTAGAAAATTTTCAATATTGATTTGAATCAAGTATTTATATATTCTAATTCAATTATTAATGAATTCAAACACGATTATACGCTCGATATAGCTACGATCTAACAAGTTGTATCGAACTATTACTTGAAATTAAGAAGTTTTTTTATTAGATAAAATATCATGAAAACAAGACTTGATAAATAATTATAATAATATTTTCTCGTTATTATGGTATAAAATTGTTGAATAGACTATTGTATTTTTTCTTTCATATTTATGAATAAGAACTGTCAATGGAACATGAACCAAAGATGCTCTATTTTCCAGATTTTAATTATAGGTTATATTATGAATACTTGTAGAAGTATGTCACAAAAACAATGTCATATGAAGATTGACATTTGACAGAAAGGTTCAACTGATCTAATTTCAATTCATAAGAAAAATATATGTTTGATGTTTTTGTAACTATATATCATAATAACTTATTTAAATATAACTCTTTCATAGGCATCTTCAATATTAATTTATTAATCAAAGAAAAGAACAGTAGATTAGAATAAGTGATTGATTATCTTTTCAAAATATTAATTTTTAAAGAGTTCTTAATAAAACCTATATTTTATCTATAATAAATGAAATTAGTTTTCTTTATTCTTTTATTTCCATGTCAAATATAGAGTAATCTAATTAGAACTTACGAAATAATATTAAACTTGTCAGGATATAGAAAATGCGTACTGTTTGAACATAAATATATATTGTCTAGTTGAATTAACATTCTTAATTAATATAATTATTGCTTTTCGATTCTTTCCTATAATATTCCTACTTAGAAATACATGAAAGAAAATATCATTTCTTAATTATACTTCGTTAATTAACATCTTTATAAATAACGCAATAAATACATTCTATAGACATATACACCTACGGCATTGCCAAGATCTTAGTTGAAGCGAATAATATGAACATTTATTTCAAAATATTATTTGACACTATATTCATTGAAGTGACAAAATCACGATGTTGTTTTATTAATCATAAAAAAATAAAGCAATCATTTTTTACGAAAATAGATTATGAATTCTATATTTAATTGAAGCTAATATTACAAAAGAACCTAGTCATATTGTCTATTTGCTTTTTATTATTCATATAAAACCAACGAATAAAATAATTAATTATTTTCATTTCTACATATTGTCAACAAACATTTATATAAATGTTAATTCGATTAAAAAAAAAAGAAAAACAAACAAAACTAAAAATAATAAATAGCAAATAAAATATAATGTTCACAAATTTTCTATTTTTTCGCTGAACGACGATTTACTCCTTGTAATTGTAGATTTATTATTGGACGAACTTGTTTCTTGCCTTCTTTTTTATTATATAATTGTTTCCATTGACATCGAAGTATACACATAAGTTCATCACGAAATACTTTTCCACTAACACAATATAATAAGAAATTTATACAGAAATTCATTAACATGAATAATTCAGTAATTTCTTTGATTGAATTTAATGCTGTATTACGAAAACTTTGAACATAGTTGACGAAATATACAGCACAATATGGAGAATTTAATAATAAAAATGAGCAAGATACAAGTAATAATGTTAATGTTACACGATTTGTTCGTGATTGAATATAATTTTTAACATTTACTGATGATTGTTTTTTAATTGTTGGACAAGTTAGTTGTTGATTTGAATATGAACGTACCATGGATTGACTTTTTGTTTCATCAGGAACTCGAAAATCATTAGTCTATTTTAAGATAAAAAGTAATCAAGATATAATTTCCTGATGTGTATATTGGATATTTCTTCGACATTGTCGTGTCTGACCTTTATTTTTTTGAGAGGAACTACTCATCAAATACTAAACTATCTTATCATCTTTTGTCTGTACTCAAATATTCTTAGACATTTTCTAAACAGATAAATGCACGCAGTATGACTTATATGGGTAATTAACCAAGAACTTTATATTATATATGTAAACATAGATATATTTTCGAAACTATCATTAACATTTAATTAATGTATAAAGAAAAACAAGTTCCTTTAATATTGTTGTATCAAAATTTGCTATGTAGGATAAGATCGTAAGGAAGGACGACATTGTGCATGCAACATTGCTATTTTCCGATTGTAGTCCATTCCAACTAGAATTTCCTTACGCTTTGTTAGGGAAAAGAAAAGTTTTTTTCCTCTCATGACGACATTCAACTAAAAAAATGCTCTGAGCTACATCTATTAATAAGAACTTTTAAGAAAAGGGAAATAGAGCCATATGTTATTATCTATATTTTGCTAAAGTCATGACGTAGAAGTTCTATTTGAACCAATAAAAGCACTTATAGTTAGAAAATATTTACTTCTGATATATGTATTTCAATTGGTATCAATGGTCGAAATGATGGATGTTGACTTGTTGAAGATTCTTGTTGACTTTTATGTTCTTCAGTATCTTTTAAAGAATTTGATGAAGATGATGATGAATGTAAACATGATAATAAATCAGATAGATAAAATGAACGACGTGAATGCATTGATTTTTGTCTAGAAAGCAAAAAAAAGTTTTTTTTTTCGAATATCTAAAAAGAAGACAAAATTCTTTTTTCTTACTTTCGTTGTGATGATTTTGGCTTTTGATCTTTTTCAGTTAATAAACTTTTACTCCAAAGTTTACAACAAATAAGCATATTAACAATACCAATTATACACATAGGCATTAAATAAACAATAAGCATTGTACTGATTGCAAATTTCATGTAAATTGCACGATATTGTACTCGAATATCACATATTGTATCTGGTTGTCCAATATCATTTGTTACATTAACTATTCCATAATGAAATGGAACGTTTATATTGACTAAAATACCCATTATAAATAAAATCATAACAATACAACGTGCTATTTTACGACGACATATAACAGCTCGTTTTAATGGATAGAATACAACAAGAAGACGTTCAATTGTAAATGAAACAATAATCCATGATGATAAAAATCTTGTTATATTTCGTGCATATTGAAAGAAAATACATACCATTGTTGAACTATGATCAAGAATATTTAAACGAGATTGATACAATTGATTATGATTACGAAATGTATCTTCAATTAAATATATAAGAAGAAAACAAAGATCAGATAATGCAAGTGATAATAAATAAAAATGTGATGATTGACGACGATATCTTGGAGATAAAAATATTAATATTGAAAGAATATTACCAATTATTCCAAGAGTTGTTAATACCAATGGTCCATATATTGACGTATATTGTTCAATAGAAACTAATGTAGACATACTATTAGAAGTTGTAGTTTTATTATAATAATCACCAATTTTACTATTAGTTTCATTTGCCATTGTTTATCTGAAAGAGAAAAAGAAAAATGCATAAATTATGCTAATAAATAGATGATTAGTTTAGAATAATTTTTGTTACAAACATTCTAATAGAAAATCTTAGTATTATTATGAAATAATAACAAATAAAATTTTCTATTGACATAGTCAGTTTTATTTTTGTTAAGGACAAAAAATAGTAACGATGGTCCACTGATTTTGACATGCATTTCCTTCCTTCTTCTCTTTTTTTCAACATCTACTCCAATCAATGCGAGAGAGATAAAAAAAAGATATACGTGTAAGCTTCCTTACATAGATTTTTTTCTCTTCTTCTTCTTCTTTCAACAAATATCTGATACTATAATAAATATAGCAGAGAAAAGTATTTGAATTTCATTGTTAAATATTATTTTCTATTTTTATTTTTATATAAAATCAATTAGAACTAGTATAAGATGATGTTTCAATCTATCATTAATTTATGCAACACATGTTTCTATTTACTGATAAAAAAATTCTTTTTTTATATTAGAAAACAACTGCGCAAATAATATCCGTTCTTTTTCTTATTAAAATTAATAACCAAAGATTTTCTTCTTAATAAATTAATTGTAAACCTCAAATCTATTACAAATAATACTTATAATGCTCAATTAGATAGAAAAGGAGTTGGTGAATAGTGTTCCTGTTAGAATATTATTCTCTAGACAGAGATTATTTCAGGCAACTTACTGTAATACAATGAGCTTAGTTTTTTATTATAAAAATAAGGTATATTCACTTACTGTGGTTACAGAGTTATTTTTTTTTACATTGAAGATAATAAAATATGTTAGATCTAATGAGAAAAATCCGCCTGAAAAATATTTTGCTCACGTTCGAATAAAAATACACCTTTTTTTTTGTAACCGTTGTAAGAGCAAAACAAAGAATACATTTAGTTATTGCGTTAAGAAAAGAAAAAAGAAATTGACTGATACTATCGAAGTCATATATAATTACGATAGAAAACGTTTATAGCCGTTAAATAAAAATATAAAATATTCACCTCTCTTTTTCTTTTCTTACGAGTCAAGTATAATTTCCACACTCTAAATATATAGTCGGAAATAAGAGTAAGAAAATATCTAATGGCATACTGTGTAATAATTAAGTATCTTCAGTAATGCATGAGATATAAATATCGATGAAATAAAAAAATTCCTCTACTTATTATAAGATATCGAGTTTCACTTGCAAAGAAAAAATATATATGGTAATATATAATAATATGTCTATCTGATTATTGTAATCAATATAAACAAGAGAAAAAAAATGTAATTATACTTTTTTATTTAAACTAGAAAAAGAAACAAAAAGAGAAGAGCTCTTACAATGATCATTCTATTTATTTATAGACAACATGCAATATATTTTCGTTCATTATATAAATGAGTTTTGTTAGTTTAATATTGATGTTTTAATATCATGATGTATTTAAGTCCTTCTCATTGTCAAATATGACCTTTTTTATTTTTTCTTCCCAGAAAAAATCTATCATTTTTTATAATGTCAAAATGTTTAGTTTTTAATAAGATTAATTAAGGAATATAAATAATATTTAAGCAGCTTTTTGTATTGTATTTTTCTAAGATTTGAGAGAAGAAAATTTCTTATCATTAATTCATGCATATCATATATATAAAACAGATTTCGAACTAAATCTATCGTCATTTCTGATCTGGTTTTTCTAGATATTTATTTATACGTGTATCTGATTCGGTGATGATTACATGACAGGGTCGTTAGTAACTTCGCATGTTCTTGATAATGTAAAATACAATAATTAATGATCAACATTTTCTATAACTATGCTAATAAATGGACGCAAAAAACTTTGTATTATTATATTTTCTATTATAGTAAAAAGGCAGTCAAATCTAAGTAATACATTTAGGTTTTCTATAAATATGGTTCATTAAATCATTAGGAAATATATTCATATGTTTTAACATATTCATATATATGAATTTGTCTAGTCAGAAAATAGGATCAGATTTTTGTTTTTTTATGGGTACATATTTTTGTAAACAAAACATCTCAAGCTTAACTTATGAATAATAATAATATAGAAAATTGAGATATTTATGATTTCATGTCGACAGATAGTCATATAAAAAAAAATTTGTTTTTCTATAGTGATTAAATATAATCTATAAAACTACCCTGGAATATTTCTTTAAACTAACTTGTTGAATATTTTATGTTTTCTAAACTTATTTCTTTGATATAAATAGATGTATTAATGAAATATTTAACTTTTAAGTTTTCTCCAATTCATTATATATTCTATTTGGTTTCGCTATATCTATCTTATATTATAAGTTTTCTCGGTACTTTCGAATTGATTCTAACACAAGTAAATTTTCCTTACTGAAACTTCTTATTAAAAACTAATGAATAATTATAATTTACTTGTTTATCTAAAAAATATACTTGTCCGGAAAGTATAACGTTGAATTATATATGTAAACTATGAAATTATTTGTATACTTATGAAGATAATAAAAGAGTAAAATATGTAATTTTGTTTGGTTTGAATTATAGATCGTGGCATTTGTGAGATGTTAGAAAGCCTGAATGACATGATTGACAAAAAATATTATTCTATACTAACATGATTGTATTTCCTATATGGAAAAATATAACAACGACTTGAAGGGAAAAATTACCCGATTACATTCATGTTTCGAATGTTAACTTATTTAAATCTATAGAGAATCGATTTTTCTCTTCTAGAAAAACAAAAAAAATCATTTTCAGTTTTTTTGCTTTTAGTAACTTACCGTATTTTTATAAAAAAAAATATTCCAATAATCAATCTTCTTCATCTTCATATAGTTATAAATTGTTGAAAATTGAAGAATATCAATCTCAATCAATGCAATTTTAATATTTAATTATCGTGGGAATATTTAACAAAATATCATTTGCACAATTGAAGAAGACATGAATATTGTGAATAGTATTGATGTTCACTGCTCATTTCTGTTTTCTCATTTCTATGATCTTAACCAATATATTGTATGTTTGTTTAATAATACTATTTTTTTCTCCTTATTTATTTGTCTGTCAATAAAGGTTGAATAAAAATATTAATTTAATATATAATGATAATAATATGCTATCGATTACGAATCAGTCAAGTGAAACCAATCATTACACTTGTTAGACAACAATAGAATTATACAAAAGACATTCTTTACCTAGAGGAAATTAAATAACAAAAGTTTGTCCTCGTTTTTGTTTATTTCTTAAGACGATTAATTATATGAATTATATTGATATATATATTTATTCATTAATGTATAATCAACTCGAGATTAAACAACATGACCGTATTCTTTATAAATATTTTTATTAGAATTTTATCCACATAAAATCTATAATTATTTATTACAAGTTCTATAAATTCAAATTAAAAAAAATTATATTTTTAAATTTAACGTTAATGACTTGTTCTTAGTATGGATAAAAGTTCTATGATATATTAAAGAATAATGAGAAAAATAATCTAATCCGTTTATTTCAGAAATAATTCCGTATTAGCATTATGCTAATACTTTCTTGACTAGGTCAAATTTTCGAAGATAAACTAATGCTATATTTTGACATTTTCTATATAGTTACAGTCCCTTTTATAATCATCAAATCAATCTCTTAATATCGAACACGTAGTATATGTATATATATCATGTCTATTATTTCATAAAATCGTGAGGTAAATATATACTACATAAATATGTTCGTTTTTATTATCTTGATTTTTATAATAAAGAAATTTTTTATTATAGAATAATATTTCAATTTCTAATAAAGTCAATAAGGGCATCAAGTTCTTTTTTTAATAGAATGGGTACATAGAAAAGTCAATGGAATAAAATGATATTTCCGAGACTCAATCAGTACAATAAAAGCAGTTGAATAATATTGTCGTCAATATTTAATTTCCGTATTGTTCGCTTGAAAAATCTTTTTATTTTTAAGTAGAATTAATAAAAAACAATGCTTTATTATTCTTTACTATTTCATCGTTCTTCAATTAATATTATAATATTAAAATTTCACTAAGCTCTGTTTGTTATCACATATGATCGATAAAAGACAAAAAAAAGCAATGTAAGAAATATTTTTTTCTGATTAATGTTCGATAAAAATCAAATCGAGAGCTTTAGTTTTCCCAGTTGAAAACAACAAATAAAGATACAATAAATTGTATGTGACAGATTTGTTTTCAAAAATACTTCTGATCAATCTTTTTTTAAATAAGAATAATTTCAATAAACTTGCAATTATTCAACAGGAGTCTAAAACATCAATTTGACGATCTACAAATTTGTATGTATCAACTGAATTGCATACACTATATGTTATTTTACATTGATTATTTTATATACCAGCATTTTTTATGCTTAGAAAATCTCGAAGAATCTATTCCATAAATATATAACCTTTAATGATATTTAATAAAAGAATATAAAATACTGCGTGACTTTTACTATTACTTCCTATCTCGGAAGTTTTTTCTCTCGAAATCATGACGAGAATAAAATATTTCAATTATTAAATCTTAATATATCTGAGTATATCATTTGATTCAATAGAATTTATATTTGATTTTGATAATAATATGAGTGGGCACTTGTCTGGTAACAGGAAAAACCTACAAATTCTAATTAAAAAATGAGTATGGCTTTGAACCTGGAGTTCAACGTGTTTAATATATCGCATTTTTATTCATTCTTCCATGATAATTGATAGTAAATTAATATCATTTTATCTTTTCACTCTATGCACCTATATATTAGAAATAATGAAAATTCTTGTTTTTGTATTTGAATAAAACATTTTTTATTTTATTTATAATTTATTAACACATCTATATTATTATTAATCTATATTTGTTTGTCGAAACAAATCAAATTCTTTTCTTAAATTTAAATATCATTATCAAATATTTTCTATTGAATTTTATTTACATTAAAGGTTTTTAATAAGAACATGCCGTTAAATATTTTATTATTTACACAATAAATTAATATTTTAGACTACAATCTGTACTTAGACATTAGTATCGTTGTTGGCTGGTGATTCTGTTGTTTGTTTTTCATCGTCATTATTTTCAAAATCATCTAAATTCTTTCCTTTTGATTCTGGTATGAGAAATATAGTAACCATTAAACCAATAAACTGAATGCCTGCAAAAATACCGAGTGTTTGAGGTAAAAATGCATTTGTGCCACCAATATTAACAATTACATTGAATCCAAATGCAGCAAGAATAGCACCGGCTTTCCCACAAGCAGCTGAAAGACCATGAGCAGTAGCTCGAAATCGTGTGGGAAATACTTCAGCAGGAATAATAAATGTTGTTGAGTTTGCACCAAATTGAAAGAAAAACTGAACAAGAACAAATAAAACAACAAACGCAGCTTCGGCATGTTCTTTTAATGGATGAAAGGCAGCAGCAATAATAGTAAATAAGATAATTTCCATTGTAAAACCAATGATTTGAATTTTTTTACGACCAAGATGTTCAATAGTAAAAACTGTAACATAATAACCTGGTATTGCTCCTAATAATGAAATAATTAGATTTCCAATAGCTTGTTTCCATAATGTTTCCCAAGGTTGTGTTGTTGCTGAATTTGGTGCAAAACCAATAGCTGAGAGAACAATCGATTGATTGAGTGATATACCATAAAAAGCAATATCAAGTAAAAACCATGCTGAACATGTTCCAAGTAAAACTTTAAAATTCTTCCAATGTGAAAAATAAGAAATAAATTCTTTTAAGTGGCTTCGTTTTTTGGTTAATTTGACTGTAGATATAGTAGAACCTGTTGGTGAAGAATCATCTTCAGCATCCACAATCTTTTTTCCAGATGCATATGCTTTTCCTTTATTGGCTAATTCAGTATCTTTAAGAACTTGTTCAGCATATCGTGCTGATTCTGGTAAATGAAATCGTGAATAAATGGTACATAAAGCAGGTAAAATACCAAGTGCAAGAAGAATACGCCAAACATAATCAAGGTTAATTTGATCAGCTTGAATTGAATGTTTAAATATAGCCAAAAGAATTATATCAAATAGAGCACCAAAAAATTGTCCCCATCCTTGCATTGAAAATGTTAATGCAAGCATTTGTCCACGACGTCCTTCACTTGACCATTCACTTGATACTGTAGCTGACATCGGATAATCACCACCAATACCAATACCTAATAAAAACCGCCAAAAACCAAGAAATCCTAATGCACCAACACCAGTCGCTGCTGATCCAGCCATTGCTGAACCAAGTGTAGCTACAATAATGATTAATAATTCAATACCATAAATACTTTTACGACCTTTACTATCACCCAAAATACCAAATGTAATTTGTCCAAAAAGATTACCGACATTAGTAATACCTTTGAGAATACCTTGAACATCTGATGGAACAGTATTATTTTGATTTTTATAATAAACATAGCCAAGCATAGGTAAGACTAGATTGATCACGAATATATCATAAGCATCCATAAAAAATCCGGTGGATGAAACAAGAACTGTACGTATTTGTCGTCCAGTAATCTTTGATCGGTTTTTTTGCACATTGTTGTCATCAGTTGATAATTGTTTCGGTTCATGTGCTGATATTTGAGACAGTTCTTCAGTTGACATACAAAGTAATTTTAATGGGTGTTTGTTTAATTTAACTTACACTAATAAAAATACCGATATATAGTATTTATAAATACCCACTTATACGAACATTGGTCATGCAGTCGACGAATGATCACATTTTATAATGTATATATATGACACGTATATTATTCTTTATGTATATTATCATAAAGTACAATCATTGACGACGTTTACTTGCTTTCTATTTTTGAAGGTTCTTTAATGTGTCATAGGTGATTAAGTAGGAGATATACATCGCAAGTATATCGTGTAGGTTTTATTCTCTAGATCGACGAGAAACATCTAAACTGTCGAACGTTGTACAGGTGAAGAGAAAAAAAATCGATCATTCATAGTCTTTTGACATTTATACATATATATACACCTATGCACATTATATGATAGTAAACAAAAAAAAGTCCAAATACGCAAAAAGATTTTTCCACTACATAACAATTTAATGAAACTAATTAGTTTAATATTTACCAATTTTACAGTCATGAATGCCATCTTTTAAACATTAGTCGTGTCAATGATTTCATTTTTTTTATATAAATGAGTAATAAAAAAAAGGTTAATTGTTATGTTGTATGTATATAGATAGATCATTTAATCGAACTAATTACAATTATTTCCTTTTATTTTTTATGCTCTATCTATGTACATACATTAATTTGTAAAAAGAAATGACAACGGGTTTCGACATATGAAATGTGTGTATATATTTCGTTGTACAACAGAAAGGAAAAGAAAAGCAACGACTGTTCTTTTATAAAAGGAAGACATTTGATTTGTTTTTTTTCTTTATTTTTGTATTATTAATCTGATAATGAAATTGATCATGAGGACATTTTTAGTTTTGGTTTAGCTGTTAATCCATCGAAACGCTTATATGTATAATTAATAAAAAGCCAATCATGCACCTGAACTTCACTATCTTTTGCTGGTGAAGCTAAAAACAGATACGAAAAAAAGCAAAACAAATGTGAATAGTTGGAAATATTTTACATACGTAGTTTAAGATCAACATCAGGAAATTCATCAAAATTTGATGTATCATCAATTGATTTTATACGTGGTTGATAAGCAGCTGGTCGATCTCGTATATGATCCCAATCCACACCCAAAAAGAATGAATCATTTCTAATATCTTCTAATGAACCTAATCGTCGTTCAGGATCAGTACAAAATCTAATAGGAATATGTTCTTAAAATAAACAACAAAGACAAAAAAAAGGGATTTTCTATCATACTTAAGTATAAGATCTTTTGCAACATTTGATATTGGTATTTCAGGTGGAAAAATAAGTGTTTTACGATAATTCATTACTTTATGAAATGTTTCCTGAGGATTTTCAGCACAAAATGGTGGATAACCAATTAACATTTCATACATAATTACACCTAATGACCACCAATCTGCTTTCTAAATTAAAATTATAATTTCATCTTTTATTTTCTATTTTATAATAATAAATATCTAACATGATTATAACCACATTGTTTAAATACTTCAGGTGCTATATAATCTGGTGTCCCAACAGTTGAATAAGCCTATTTAGAACAACATTTTCTATTAGGTAAAAGAAAATTTTAATTTATTGAATAAATACGAACTAATGCACGACGATTTCTTTTCCATGTTTCAGCTCGTCTTTTAGAATCCATTGGTGTAGCTGCTAAAATATTTAAACGAAGAAATTCGTTTAGAAGAGAAAAAGAATGATTTATTTCATACTAAAATCTTGTGGTCGTACACTTTGAATATCACGATAAAATTCTGTTCGATGAGCTTTTTTTAAACCTGTACATAAACCAAAATCTGACAGTTTTATATGACCCTATAATAATATATTTCTTTTTTCAAATCAGAAATCATATAAAATTTACTTTAGCATCAAGTAAAAGATTATCTGGTTTAATATCTCGATGAATAAATCCAAGTCTATGAATTGATTCAATAGCTTGTGCTGTTTCTGCCACATAAAACTGTGTCATATCTTCACTAAATATTTCTTTTTGTATTAACAATGTCATTAAATCACCTGAATGGAAAAAACTAACAAAATTAACTTTCAAATTATAACAAAATCCTACCTCCAGGAAGAAATTCCATAATTAAATATAAATTTCTTGAATCTTGAAATGAGTAAAACATTTTAACTGTCCATGTATGATCAGCTTCAACAAGAACATCTCGTTCAGCACGTACATGTGCAACTTGTTCACGTAATAACATATCTTCTTTACGTAAAATTTTCATTGCATATATATGACCTGTATCACGTTTTTGTACAAGACGAACCTTAATTTGAATTTATAATTAATTAAAATATAGCTTTTTTTTCTTTTAGTTTTGTTGAAAAATTCATTTACTTCTCCAAAAGCACCACGTCCAATAACTTTTAATGGTTCAAAATCATCTGCACTCATTTTTACACGTTTTAAACGTAAATATTCTGTTTCTTTTGCTGCATGTAAATGACGTTTTTCTAATTTCTATAATTAAATAATTATATTTTCAAAATTTAGGAAATAATATACTTCTTGATCAGATAAGCCTTCTTCTGTCATATTTTGTTCTAATCGACGATATCTAATCAATATAAAAATCTATTATAATTTACTTATTAAAAACTAATTCTATTTTTACCTTTCTTCTCGTTCTTCATATTGATTAATTAAATTTGCATAAAAATTTTCAATAGACATTTTAGCTTTATTCACTTTTTCCTGCGTAATAGGCGTATACGTCGATGGTGTAGCGGCCATCTGAAAACAAAACACGTATATATTCTTTATACTTTTATTTAAATAAATTTTCTTAATCAACATATATATTTATATTTATAAACGATAATTCACTTATTTTATACATTTTCGTTCATTATTTGTTTTACATTCACATACAAAAAGAAAAACAATTTCATAAACACGAAAAGAACAATAGCACATTTAGAAAATTTGTCATAAAAAAAAGCTTTTCTTATTTGGAATATATCTGGCAAAGAAGAAGGATAGATAATCATGCAGAATATCCTTAGAAGTATATTACGCATTGGAAAGAAGAAAAAAACGATTATTTCATACAATTACTTTAAGAAAAAAAACAAACTATCTGTGAACATATTCATTCGAAATAGTGGAAGATAAACGAAATATATTTTCAAATAGGAAAAGCAATTAAAACAAAAATAGTTGAATTAATTTTGACAGTATTGTGGACCGGCTGAAGTTACATAATCATCAAAATATGAATGTAAAAACTGAATAAATATCAAATATATTTATATAAAATTTATCTTTAAAAATATTTATTTACTTCAAATGTTGGTCGATTTTCAGTTACAATATCCCAACAACGTATCATACAATCATACATTTTATCTGGACAATTCTGATGACGCGGCATTCGATAGCCACGTTTAATTTCGTCAAGAACTACTCGATTACTCATACCTAACAAAATAAGAATTATTATTTTTATTAATAATTAATTTATTCTTCTGACCAGGATAAGGCGTTTCACCATGTGAAATAAGTTCATAAAGTAAAATACCATAAGACCACACATCGGACTTTATACTAAATTTGCCATAAATAGCCGCTTCTGGTGCAGTCCATTTTATTGGAAATTTCGACTCTAGAAATGAAAAATATATAAATAGATAGAAATATAATAATAAAACTAACCATGTTTTATAGTATAAATTTCCTCATTTATAATACGTGCTAAACCAAAATCTGCAATTTTGATAACACGGTTTTCTCCAACAAGAACATTTCGTGCAGCTAGATCACGATGTATCTAATTGAATTAAATGACTCAAAAATTTTTGTTAAGATGGGTTTTTTTGAATAACTTACATAATGTTCACGCTCGAGATATGACATTCCATAAGCAACCTAAAATAAATAAATGTCATCATGAAAAGGCATCAGGTATTAAATTTATAATTCTGTATAAAATATTTTTAAAGACTCAATGAGAGATTAAAATTATATTTTCGAAAATGATGTTACAGCTTGATCGTTCATCTATCAAATTTATTATAGCTCATGATATTTAGAAAGGTAAAAACATAAGAAATCTTGTGAACTAAGTCTAGTTCGAATAGATTACCTGTGCAGCTATATCAACAAGTGCTGGTAATTTAAGTTCTCGTCCTTCTGCACCTCTTAAATAATCTAATAAACTTCCATTACTCATAAGTTCGGTGATAATATATATAGGCTGATCTTCAGGCTGAGTACAAACAGCATATAGTTGTACAAGTTTATCATGACGTAAATTTTTCATAATATTTGCTTCTTTGATAAATGCTTCTGGAGTTGTTGCACCAGGTTTCATTGTCTTAACTGCTACATCAATTTTATCTTTCCATTTACCAGCCCATACTTCACCTAATAAAAAGTAAAGAAATTTAGTTAAACAAAATAAGAAAAAAGACAGTCTTACCAAACATTCCTTGACCAAGTTTTTTCATTAAACGAATAGAATCTCTTGATACTTCCCAGACATCTTTTGATATCGTAGCTGTGATTGGTTTCGGTCTTATACATGAATGAGTTAATTGACAACAAAGACCATCAGCACTTTCTTAAAATTAATTTATAATAAGATAAATAAAAGACTCATAATTTTCTTTTTACTTATATAATTATCCACTAACTCTTCTATTGTACGAAATACACGACGTGGTGCAATATAATAACCTTGGTTTATTTCTGAATATCGAATCTTATAATGTTTTACATGTGGACCACGCTGCTCATCACTATCCAGAACCGATAATGAATATGGACCTATATAAAAAACATTAAACATATTAAATTATTAGAAAATTTAAATTTTAACCAGGAGCATTTTCTGAATTTCGAACAAGAAATGATCCACGTGGATTTATTGGATTTAACAGAAGTCGCTCAGCTTCTTTTCGAAGTATACTTTTATAAAACCAACTAAAAGTAAAAAGAAAAATTTACATTGAATTTTAAGTTTTATTTATTTCAACTTACTCATTCGCATCTAGACCACCATGAGGTGCAATATAAAGAGCTGGAATGTATCCTTCTGCACCACTTTTATAATTTCGAGCAATCCACCAATCCTTTTGACTAACATAAATATATTCGTATATATATATATATATTTACATATATAATCGAACAAACCTCTTATCAATAATAGTAAATATGTCTCCAGCACGAAATGTAAGATCTTCCTCTGTTCGTGCTTCATAATCATATAAAGCAACATATATATCTTTTAGTATATATCCATCTGGTTTTAGTCCTCCAGGACTCGGTGGTCTTTCTGCCAAAGATATAAAGAATAAAGTAAAATATAATAGTATTAGTAACAATTAAACATACGAGAGCCAGTTGGTGGTGGTTTAATGGAAGATGAATCGGAATGGTTTTTTCCTCCTTCTAACGGATCAGGTCTTGATAAGCAACCACCCATAATGAAAATTTATTTTACCTTCGTCCGAGTCATATTATCTATAAGCAAAATATACACCTATATGTTGTTAGAGATGGTCAACCCACGCAAACACTCTCAGGTAGAAAAGAAAACAAAAGATCAGCTGTCCCGTCACTCAGGAACAGAACTCGACCAACCAAACAACTAACTATCCAGCTTAACGTATCATCAACATCAAATCTATCTCAAAGTATAAACAACCAATGAAAGTGTATAAGGAATGAAAGAGGGCGCTTGAATTTGTTGCACTTTTATTTTCAAAATACCATATATAGATCAACTATTCGTGTATGAAACATGAAAATGAACAACAATCCTATTTTAAAAGAGGGGAGAGTAAGACATATACGACATACCTATGCGTTTCGATATGTAAGAAATGTAAGAATTATGATTACTTAAGAAAAGTATAGGGAGTGTTAAAGTTTTGGAATTTGATATATTTATGATACAGTCATGGATTCTGTTAACAAATATGCGTTTTATTGACATTGGATATTTTTTTTCTCCTTTAAATACAATTATTGTAAAGAATAGCAAAGTCGAAAAGGAAAAAGAAGAAATCAGTTGTATGATTAAAAATATTTCTTCATGTTTTATTTCTCTTATTTACTAAATGAAATATACTTGCGCATTTAAAAAAATATATCTTAATATCAATGTTCTATATTAATCTATGAATGTTCTTAATAAACAATCTAATATTTTATTACAAAAACATATTTTTACTACATATTATCTTCAATTGAGTCACGAGATCATCGACTGAGAATGTTATTTTGTCAATGGATGACCGAGTGCTTCCTTGTTTTTCCACTAATATATCATCATAAAGTAATCATAATGTCAAGCATTTTAATCTCGATTCTATATTCATGAAACATGTTTTTCTTGTTGGCAACTATTTAAATTTAATTTCGAGCAAAGGATTACTTTGCATTGAAAGTAAAGCCATATATTTCTTATTGGACCGTATATTTGTTGAAATGCATTCACAATATTCTTTTGGTATATCTAAAATAATATTGTTTTTTCTTTACTTCGTTCGTGAGAAACATTGTAACTCTCATGTCTTTCGTATTCAATTTTTGTTTGTTGTACAGTTACTTGATGGCATTTTCTTTGTTTGAGATTAGCTTAATCTTTTGGCTATGAGTTTAATTTTTTTCATAAAACTATTTCAGAATGTGTTCGAAAATTAAATATGGAATATTCACATGAGCATGTTACCACTATATCACATAGGGAACAAGAGAGTTGCAACAGACTGTCTGATTATCTGCATAGATTTCACCGTTAGAGATCAAGCATCATATATGATACTCTCGTAGCCAAAGAATTAATATCGTACAGGGGCAGATACTCAAGTCACATACCTCTTTGTCTTCTTCTCTCATTATGTGATATCTATAAAAAAAGAGAATATTAAACTGGGCAATATATTTCGATGGATCTTACAGTCGGTTATAGAAAGAGTTCTGAAATGGACGTTTATAGGTATCAATTACGGATGATATTTTCATTGTATTTTCTTCGATTCCTCTGCATTTAAATTAGTAGATATCCATACGAACAGTGATTGTTTCATAAGTTCTCATTCGATTTAAATATTAAGTTGTCCATAGTAAAACATAATTTACGAAATAGATTTAGTTGACTCTACCAGGTCAAATAAACGAAAATTATAAATTCAGAAAAAAGATTCATAAAAAATGAAAACTAATCGTGAACTTTCTTAAGTAGTGGTGCACTTGGTTAAAGTCTTGCATAACTTCATTAAAACAAAAGATTTTTTGGTCAGGTCATATTCTGTTTGGATCAGAAATAATTGTTTTTCTTCATCATACTGTAAATGGAACTCCTACTACGTTCTCTGTTTCGTACTTGGACATACAAACGTAACTAGACATTAGCGATTTTCAACAAATCATTCTTGCGTATACAGTCTGCTCGAGAAAGAGTACATTCGAAAGTACCAAACAAAAACACAATTCTCATTTTTACTAACCTTTTTCTGAAAAATAATCAGCAAAGAAAACATATAAATCAAAAAATAATATCGAGTTTACAAAGTTTTTATAGTTCGCCTGGTTTTCTTGGATACAATTCTAACATTAAAGTTTAACTATGATTCTTTACAAAATTCCATGATGCTTTCATAAGAAATAAGAGTTCGAATAAAAGTACTGCAGTTAGGCGCATGATTAATTTTTTTACTGTATGAGTTAGTGGAATCAACTAAAAGTCATTTTGCACAGTGTGTTGTACTAAGAAAAAACTCAACATTCAATCATAACCAGGGCTTTTGGATCATTCTTTATTTACTAGAACATCTTCAGCATAATATTCTATATGGTAATGTTAGAAAATGTTTTTTTCAATTAAAGAAGATAAATGACATAAGCAACATCAAACATAATATTATTTTTTGTTTGTCCGATTTCCTTTTTCTTCTGTCTGTGACACGTTAGTCATACACTATAACGAAAAGATGATTAAAGAATATAAAGGAAGAGTAACTGTCTATTTGATATATATTTGAATGAGTAATCGTCAATAAAGTTTTTATTTATCAAATGGAAAGAAAAAGAATATAATTATATTCAGTTCACTATTTGCTTGCATCAATATATTTAACGTCACTTTTTTGTTTGATCAAATTACTAATGATCATTATTAGATTTATACATCTTTATATGATCTATGGTTTAATTATTAGTTTAATTTATTTAACAATGTTTTTAGCTCAATATTATAATTCTGAAAAAGTTTTACATTATCTTGGAACATTATGCACTGTTGGTACATTATATGTACCTATATTTTTAAAATATCATTCATCTGAAATTGTATTTGCTAATGCATTAGTCAGTATTTTTTCTGCAGTAACAGGATTTTTATTTGCATTAAAAATTCTTGAACTTACTTTTACATATGAATGGTCTCAACAAAAACAAATAACATTAAAACAAATTTTAATCGATTTTTCAACATTTCCATTATATAAATATGAACCGGAACCATATTTATTAAAGTAAAATTTTTATTTAACTGAACTATAATTATAAATAATATTCGATTTTATTTAAAGATCAAAATCTATTCATCCAACATTTTTAAATCATATAAATTATCTTATTCTTGGTACTAATGATGATCAATTATCTGCTCATCGACAAAATAGTTTAATTATATTACGTGGTTTATTTCAAATGATATGTTTACATATTCTTCTTCATTTTACACCTTATTCAGTGCTTCGTCTTCATAGTCGAAATGCAACATTTTTTTCTTTAACTCATTTTCTAATATATGCACTTTATGGATTTATATTTTATTTTGCGCTTGGTATGATAATTAATATAGTATTTGGTTTTATGGGTTTTTTCTGGAATATTCATATACGTTCTGTATATCCAGGTTATCCATTTTTACCAAGAGGTATTCATGATTTTTGGTCACGCCGTTGGAATATATATATTAAAACAATTCTTCATCGTATTGCTTTTATTGCTTTACCAAAATTAACAGGTTTTAATAAGAAATCAAATGTACGAATGATAATTGCTGGTATATTTGCATTTTTTGTATCTGGTCTTTTACATGAATTTATGTATACAGTATCAATGAATCGATGGTCTGGTGGTAAATATATGCTGTTTTTTCTTATTCATGGTATGTTTGTTGGAATTGAACTTAGTCTTCAAGGACTTCTCAAACGAAAGCAATTATTTCCAGCATTTGTTGGGTGGGCTTATACAATAATTGCTTTATATTCTACAAGTCATCTTTTTTGTGATCCATGGATTGAAGCTGATTGTTTTGCAACATTAAAAACATATTTAGGATAGAAAAATATAAATTTGCTTATATTATAATTTATATAAGATATAAAGAAATATTATTGATATTAAAATTTTTAATAAATAAAAATGCCTAGAAAATCATAAGAGCATGCCAATAATAATTAAAAACAAAAAGATGATGTTTCAAATGTCGAGGTATACTTCATAGCAATCAACTGGATTACGTGGATATAAACAGTCAAAAAGGATGATTCGCTGATTTTGATGATGTTTTCTTATAGTAATCAAAACAAACGGCAAATTTTGACATAATGAATTTCTTGAAAGTTATCAATAGTTTGTCTTTTTTTTATTGTTTTTATTCAAAATAAGAAGCAATATAAACATAAATTTATTCACTTTTACTATTATTTGAACGATTATCACGTTGAAGTGCGATGAGTGTCCAAGTTGCTGCTAATATATCACCCAATGCAAATAATAACAAATTATAACTTGATATTCCACTGACAACTAAATATATCATAAATAATGCAGCTAAATATCGCAAAACAATCGAAAGTTTAAAAAAAATAATAGCTGATTGTTGCACCATAACTAAATAATTGATTCCTAAAAGACCAGCAAGTAAACCAAACATTCTTACAAAAGTATTATCAGTAGTTGTCATGCCAACAAGAGATAAAACTGTATGAGGAAAAAATTCAAAACCAATTCCACCAACAATAATCATATAACTTCCAAATACTAACATACTTAATTTTGATCGTGGATATGATTTCATATCAATCATAATTGAATATTATTCTTATATATCAATTTTATAAAAATAAATCTGAAACAAAACTAGTTGAAGAATTTCTTTTCTAGAACTTAATCTGAATATTTGTGTTTTTTTATTCACTAAACATATTTCATAGCTTAGCTTAATCCGTTGAAGAAATGCGATAGCAAACGTTTAAGCTAAAAATAAATATCTAGATAGTTAATAACGCATTTGCATAAATCAGACGAAAAAATATTTTTGATTTTGAAGGAAAGAAAAAAATCTTCAACGATTGGTTGGCAATACGAGCAAATTTATGTGGGTTTAGGTGTAATATATAAATATAAGAAGTTTAACTTCATATTTAAATTTTGAAAAAACATGAAAACTAGCTTCTAATATACTGTTTAAATAACTGTAATATATATAAAACATTACAAATGTATTTTATTTTAATAATTTTAAAATAATATAATCAATAAGTTTTATCATACTTGAAAAAAAATTGCCTTTTACTAATACTAAATGAGTACAACTTTTAGTTAAACTATGTATGATTATATTTATATGTATTAGTTTAATATGGTGTACATTTTCTCAGAGAGAAATAAGTTAGATTTAATCTGAAAATTTTCTTTATTTCTTCTATGTAAATTTACATAATTCTATAAAGTATCAAACGAAATTTGATTCCGTGTCTGACTCATAAACGTAACGTAATACTTGTCGATCAATGAGATTCTATCGAGTCATTTAGATTTTGAAAAATTTTATTATTTTCTGCAGCTTTGCAATATTCGTAAACTTATATGATTTCATTTAATATTGATTTTATAAGTATATTTTAATCACTTACATATCTGTCACCTAAAATAATCGAATTTTAGGACATTCATTATTATAAATGTATATTTGGTGTGCGACACCTTTACATTTTCATTCATGTGCAACGTTTCTCTCTTTTATTTTTACACATAACTGTACGCTTTTTTGTTTTATTATTTTGCTTCGCTTCATTGAATTTTTCTTATATCTTCTTTATACATCGTTTTATATCGTCGTCTGTAGTGACTAATGCAATACGTCATTTTTAATTTTATACTGAGTTAAACGTATTATTGCCTTTTCAGTTAAGATTGTGTGTCAATAATCTACTCGAGGTATCTAAGAGAAAGGATAAATCAAAAAGATTGCGCATAGACATTTTTGATTTGTGTATATCTTGAATATATATTGAAGAAATTGAATGTGAAATAATTACATTATAAAGATATAAAATGGTAGATAGATATAGATATAAATATATCTTTATCAGCAGAGCTGTGAAATGATGGTACTCGTTTTCGTAGAATTATTTTATTTATATAATTCTGTTATTTTTCTTTATTATATGAGAAAATATTGCTTTGGAGTATGTTATAAGAAGGTATGTATATAGAGCTTATAATGATCGATATTGACACACATAAAATAGGATTTTTCAAAACCTATTAATGTTATGTGTCATATTTGAAGTTTAGCATAGCTTTGAACACGCATCTCTTTATACGACATCTTATCGAACAGTTGATTTGTGTTCTTACGTAAGTTTTTTCATACATGAATTATAGTTACGTGTGTACTTGAAATGGATTGTTTAGAAGTATTCTAATTACACTGATAGATGCTATGATAGCAAAATATTTTCGCACGGAATATTAAAACTATACACTTCTATAATAATATGTGCTATTCGTTATATAACGTTCACAGACTATCGTATTGATTTCGTAAATATTCCATATACTAATTCTAGTTCGTTCTCATTAGGATGTATTTTAAGCTATTTCAAGATCTGGTAGGATCCTATCATTTAATGAAAACATAAGATTTTTGATATAGTTAACAGATCTATTGCATCACGACATGCTACTTCAATACATGTACACGTTCTTTAGACTTTTTACAAGATCAAAACAAAACAAGGATGTATAGGAGTGATTTTGTAAATATCATGATCTATTTCACACAGAATTCAACTATTAATCATTTAACAACAAATAAAGATCTGTTTTTCGAAGAATCATATTGAGTATTGTTTAGAATATTAACAGCCATTTTTCTATTCAAAACCACTTAACATCTTAAAACTATCTATATTTTGAGTCTACCCTTTATAACAAAATTTAGCAACAATGGCTAAAGTCTTTCTAAACAGTGATATCAAATTTGTTCTACATAACTATGAAAACTAGGTAGATATAGTAAAACCGTCCTTTTTTTTAATTCTATTTACTATTATTATTAAGATATCAAGAAAGGAAAGAAATAACATACGTTTATTGACTAAGCTGATAGGTCGAAAAATCGACAATGAAACTAAAATCTTTTTGTTTTCTATGCAAAGATGGACTATGTTAGATAAGACACCAAGTAAGTTTCGTTTTGGCATGCTTTTTTTGACTTTTTGACTAGTAATCAGTAAAATAGAATAAAAGAAAGTAGTATTTGAACCGAAACTCATAATATATCGAGACAAGCATTAAAAATCAAAATCTATTTTTATTTCTTATTTATACTCTCTTCTAGATTCAACCAGCTTGCTTTACACTATATAAAGTCTTTTCTGATTAATTTCATTTTTGGATGAAATTCTTAGGGTAATGTTAGATCAATTTTTATAGGAAAATCAAAGCCTTAGAGAAATTTTTTACATGCATATAACTTCACTCAGTCTTTAATGCTGATTTCAAATATACTTTTTTGTATTGACTGAAAAGGCACTTTTTCTAATCCATGGTTGCTAAATACTAGTCAAACACCTTCAGGAAAGCTGTTAGTGCAATCCTCGTGAAATTAAAAATGTTTGTCACGATCTATAGTAGTTATAACTCACATCTATGACGATCTATGATACTAATTCATTATAATGAATTAATATTGACTAATTAATTAGTTAAAATTAAAAATTAAAGCATCGATAGTTTTGAGATGTAAAGCGTTTTTGAAGAAAAAAATGACTATTAGTATTCTGAGTAGAACTCAATATGATCCTTCGAGACATGGATTTTTATTTGTTGTAAAATGATTTTTCGTAGAATTCTTTATCTATTAGGAAGTGACTACAAAATGATTTTTATTGGCCATCGTCTTTTACATCAGTAGAAAATAAGTTTATTGTCAAAGAATTCGCTAGCTTAACAATGCGAAGTTATATAGCGAACGTCATTTAAGTGTTTTATTAGTTTTATTTAGAAGAACATTGCAAGATATAAAGCGAGACAATATAATGGTTAATAAATCAGTCATTATATCACGAATGTCTAAGAAGCATTGCACGCAAGCTACGATCAACATTACTCAGTGAGCGTCACCGATTTGGTTCATATTTTTATAGTAGTTAGGCAAAAGTGTTGTAGGAATAACCTGAAAATTTTAACTCAAATGACCGAGCCATTCCTCAGATATCCTTGCCACAAGTGAGGGGGGTCGGGTATATCTGAGGAATTTTTTAGGGCGATTCTTCTCATTAAATTTTTATTTTCTCAACAATGATAAAAGTTAGGAAAGAGATTTTTTTTACCGAAAATACTATCGGCGATGGGCTATCTTTTGGCGTTATTGAAAATTCTTTTTTCTGGAATTTTTATTGCACCTTGCTATAAACCAAATTTAAGAAAACGTTTCCAAATATGTAGGGTCATTTAATCACATCAGCGTGATAGATCAATTCGAAAGTAGTCTTATTTGAAAGAGCATATCCGAATGTGTCAACTCACATCAAAAAAAGTTTGCTATTTTGACTTTTTTCTAATAACGTTTTTTCAACCTTATTTTAGTATTTTTCATTAGTTTCTAGTTTAGAAAAAATAGCTATATTTAGTGTTTTTAATATACCATCAATATGAATTGCCTTGGTCGAAAAATTAATATCATATTCGAAATCAGCACAAAAGAATAACCTAAAAAAATATATTTGACCCAAAAAACATTTTACGCATATTCACCTGTCGTACCCTACAGTAGTTGTGTCATCCAAAAACTGGGTGAGGTTTTCTGTAGGTAAGTTTTCGAAAATTATTTTTCTACGTCATATATATATTTTTTTGTATTGATTTCGAATATGATATTAATATTTTTCATTATATTTAACTCTAAAAATGATCGATTCTATGAGTATATGACAATTAAAACAGATATATCATTGATTTATTTTGTTTCAATTAAGATAGAAATTATATTCATTAATATATAGTCTAAACGTGATCATTGATGACTATAAGTCGAACTCCCAAGCGCAAACCATTTTTTTGTTTTAAAAAATGGTTCATTATATTAGTTATCGTTATATGGCTTATTATTTTTTTATCAATACAAATTATGACTACGTGGGAGTCTACTCATCCTTGTCTAACATCTAAAGAGAATCGTGCTAAACTAGTATATATGGTAAAATCATTTACGGAAATCATGACAGAATTAAATGTTACTCATTGGGTCGATTTTGGAACATTACTAGGTGCTTTACGATATGAAAGTATCGTTATCTGGGATCATGATGCTGATGTTTCATTTGATCGAAAATTTGCAGAATTACTTCATGTTGGTGGAAAAGCACACAAGATTGCTAAGGAACGATATGATATGTATTTAAATGCAGCAGTAATAGTATATGAAGGAATGCAAACAGATATATACAGTTGGAATAAAGAATGGGATGATGGAAGTTTTATATATACAAAAGCTGCGAATCGAGGATTAGAATTATTTGAATCGCAATTCAATGATTTTAATGCTAGTTTTATTGATAAAACCGTTCTAATACCATTTGGTGGTGGATTTGTTCGATCTCCATATCCTCCAATGGAATTTATTAAACAACGATATCCAACATCATATAAAAGATCAATTCCTTTTAAAGTATCTTGTTATTTCCCTTGGAATATTCCTCATTGGTTATTTCATAATCAACCACTTCATACAATAGAATAAATATTGGATATTATCAATTGAAATTAAAATTAAACGGATATTCAAAATAAAATATATAGATTATTTTGATATTTTGTATAAATAGGAAAAAGAATAATAGTGTAATAATAAATTCAATGAAGAATGACAATTAATAGTTGCTTATAATAAATAATAATAAGTAAGTGATTGACACAAGACTATCATAGATCAATGCATTGAATGGGAATGTTATAATGAATAGTTTTAAAGTTATTTCAATTGATTGGAAAGAATTTTTTGTTAAATATTTCATGTAACTGTGTATATAATTTCTCAAAAAGATTTTATTCTTTTATCACAAGAAGGAAAAACTAACAAAAAGAAGAACACAGTATGATAGAATAAACAAATAACGAAACAGAGAGTAATCACATGGAAGAAACTTATTTAACATACATAAAAGAGAAAAAAAAATCAAACAAAAACAAAAATAGAAGCTATGTTTTTTTATTACTGGGCTTGAATAATAGATGTTCTATCATCGACAAATGTTTTTATATCATTGTCTTCACTGGGATTATTCTTTTTACTTTTTGAACTATGACGACGATGCTTTTTATGATGATGATGATGATGATGATGTTTTTTACGTTTTTTTTCATTATTAGAATCTTTTTCTTCTATTTTACTATTTGAATCAATAACTGTTCGAGTATCCGAAGAAATTGATAGGGTTGAAGAAGAAGGTTTTTCATCAATAATTGTTTTACTATTTGAATCAATAACTGTTCTATTATTCGAAGAATTTGATAGGACTGAAGTCGAAGGTTTTTCATCAATAACTGGTTCAATTTTAGATGCAAGTGATCGAGGTCGTTGATCTGATGATACTGTTACGGGTGATGAAGAACGTACTGATTCAGATTGTATTTTCTGTTCTGTTTTAGATGATAAAACAATTCGACTATCATTTACATCTGAACGATGTTTTGAAGGAGTTCGTGTTCGACGGTGATCACGATTACGACTAAATTAAATTCTATTTTCAAATAGAATAAAGATGAATTCTATTTTCTTACTCGGAATGTTGTTTTGAAGATGATGATTCATGCATATAAACAATAGTACGTTGAGTTGTTTGTTGAATTGTTGGTGGTGGACGAGGTGTACGACGTTTTTCTCGATCACGAGTTGATCTAGATGATTGAGGAGGTGATCTACATTTCAAAATGCACAAAAAGAAGTATATATTTTTTTCTTTGATAAAAGTTTACCTTCCATGTTTTGATGATTGATTATCCTTAATAGGAGAAGCTCGTGGACGATTTCGATGTAATGGTGATCGATGTCTAACTGGTGATCGTTGTTTTTGTCGATAATTATCACGATTTGGTGATTTTATACGACCATCACCTTGACGACGATTGCTTGTTTGTTGAGGATTTTGACTGCGTGATGAATGAGGACGACGTCGACGATGTTGATCATCACGTCGTGAAAATGATGAATTACGAGAATCACTAAATTTAAATATGAATAATTAAATATGTAATAAAATATTATTGAATATTTTACCTGCTTGTATAAGATGAATAAGATAAAGAACGTGAACGATGACGACTAGTCGATCGTTTACTAAAAGAAGAATAGATAAATAAGATAATATATGTATTTATAAAAAATTATTTACGTTTGTTGAAGATGACGCTGTCTCATATAATATTCATTTTTAGAAAGACCTGTTTCTATTGATGTTGGTACTGATTGAGAGCCTGTTTGATGATGATGAGCAATAACTGTTGATGTTGATGTTGCTGCATATCCTGGACCTGGATGATGAAGAGAAGATACATTTGCTGTTTCATAATGTGTAACATGATAACCATTTAATGAATTTGGTTGCATATGTGGTGGACCAATTGAATGATGATGAGGTAATGGATATGATGGATGAGCAGAATAATGATGCAAACCTCTGCCTGGTAACATTGAAGGAGCACCCATTGGATGATGAACACCGTGAGGATATGGAAGATGCATTGGTGGAGGATAATAGTTACTAAAATAATGAAGGAAAAAAAACGGATATTGTTGAGTATTTATTGTATTAAACTTACGGTTGCATGGGATAATAACTTGTTGATGATGTTGGTGGAATCTGTTGAGGATACATAAGGCCATGATGAATATGTTGTTGATGAGGTGGAATATGTGATGGACTTGGATAATAATGTGGTATAACTGATGGTGTAGCTGCTATTGCTGTTGTTGTTGTTGATGGTGATGAAACTATTGTATTTACTGGTATGACTTGTGATGGAGGAGTTCGACAATTAGATTTTTCATCTTAATTACAAAAATTAATTTTAAAAAATAAAGTAAAAGAATAATTTACATTCTGGAGTATTTATATCAGTTGTTATATTTGATATTTCTTCATTTATATTATCATTAGTTAGTAAAAATCGAGAATTAACATCTTTTTCACTAAAATAAATACAAAAAATAAAATATTTTTGAAAAAAACAAAAATATATCGAATTTACCTTGATGTTATATGATCTGAATCCGATACTTTTCCATCTTCAAATGTCATATCAGCTGGTTTTGTTGAAACAATTAATTGTGGTGATTGACTTCGTCCTAATGGTTGCATTTTAATAACAATTGGTGCGGTTTTAACTGATGAAGTCGATTGTTGTGTAACTGTAGAAAGAAGAGCTGCATCATATTCATCAATATCATTTGAATTTAGAATATTTATTGATCCAGGTGTTCGTAATGATGGTGACATATATGAATAAGATGATTTCTGTTGTCGTTCTTCTCGCCAACGATCAACATGTTTTCGTAAAAATAAATTTGGATTTATTTGATCAATAGCTACATGTTGACGATGACATTGAGGACATTCATGATCTTCACTTTCAACTAAAGCAGTACGAATACCTTTGAAAATAGATATACATATATAGATTAAATCTAACAGAAATAAAAACAATGATCTATTTACATTCATCACAAAAACTATTATGACAGCATGGTGTTATAACAGCATCATTATAAATTTGTTTACATAGAAGACATAGAAGATCATCAGGAGGTGTTTCTTCATCAGTAGATCTTATTGGTAACATGGACGGAGGTGGAGCTGGTGGTAGAACACCTTTCTCTTGAAATTGACGAGCTCGAAGAGCTAATGCATCAGCTTTCTTTTCTGTTTTTTCAATAAATAATTGACTAGAAAATCATACATTCATTTATTTTTATATTTATCATTGTTATTTGAATATAAAAATACTTACGCCATTGGTCGTGGTACAACAGATGCACCATGTGGATCTCTGTATGCACCCGGTATATGTCTTGGAATTTGAATAAGACCATCACGTGGTATACCTGTTGTATTTTTAGCCATTGATTGTGAATGTCCTGATCCACGATGATGAGAACGATTTCCATGTTGTTGTTGATGATGATGATGATTGTTACGATGATATGATTGATGTTTACCAAAATGAGAATTTGTTTGTGTCGTTGAACCTGAACCTGTCGCTTGTATATTGTCAGTCGTTGATGAATGATCACCACTGGAAAATAATGAACCAATTGTATTACCATTGGAATTTGTAGATGAAGACTGCTGAAGATAGAAATGTATGAACAAAACAAGAAAACAAAAAAATCAACCATTAAAAAGAGGACCTAGTTTTGTTATTAATATTATTATTATTATTTTTATTTAATGAATATTCTAAGTGAGAATGAAAAGGATGACTACTAATATCATTATTATTATTATTATTCACACTCTTAGTATTATCAGGACGCACAGCGTCTTTATTAATAGTGATAATATAATCTGATATACAAAACGGAATGGATGAGGATAAAACGACAGAAAATAAAGATCGACGTTGATGATTGAGGATGATCATGTGTGATGAATCCATTCCAAACATGGAACCTACCAGAAGAAGAGGACAATGACTTTTTATATGACCCGGTTGTTTACAATTATAACACGTATATGAATTATTCGTTCGATGTGATGGTCTATAAATGAAAAATTAATATTTATCTATTATCTATCATTTATATAAATAGATAAACAAATTACTTACAAATATCGAGATTGAGAAGTTTTAACAACTTCTCTAATTTTTTCATCTTCACTCATTTCAGACGTTGTAGTATTATTTGAGATCTAAAAATTAGAATTAAAAATTTATATTATATTAAACGATAAGAGAAAAATGAACTAACTTGAGTAAGCATTTCCAATGGAATACCTTGACTATCAACAACAGATGATTGAGATGCATTTGTTGTCGCAGATGTTGTCTAAATTAAAATGAAATTTGTAAAAGCTATACAAGTATAGAATATGTGTTGTATTTATTATGACTTCTAATAAGATTATCTCAATATTTTAATAATTTTAGACACTTAAAATATGTTTTTTGTCATTATACTAAATGCTGTACTTACGACTTGTGTTGGTTGGAATATAGCAGGTCGAAGATATCTATAAGATAATATTAAATATCTTTTTTTCTATACAAAGAAAAAGTGTAAAACTTACTCATTAATAATATCATCGGATGATACGACTAGTCTTTGATTTGTTAAAGGTGTTAATGATTCAAATGCACCACGGATACGTCGAGCTACAACAACACTTGTATTTCGTGGAATCATATCAGAATGATCTTTATATTCTATATATGAAAAACAATAAATATTAAATATTAAATACAAGGTGAAATAATAACTGACCTTCATGTGTCGTAGAATTACTAATAATTAAATCATAATCGTCTTTTGGATGATGTGTATGTGTTCCTGATCGTGAAGATTTTTCGACAATCAATCGTTTAAGTTCTGCAAGAGAACAATTCATTCCTTCAAATTGTACAGACTCATAATCTCTATCCGCTTTGTATTTATATCGTATGATTGACATCATTTTAGCCATACAAATGTATTACGAAACAAATAGATTAGAAAAATGATTTGTAATAATAGTTTCATGTTAAGTCAATATCTATCCATGTGCACGCTAGCTGATTAAATCACCAATGAGAGTAAAGAGTACACCTCTATAATGTAGGCGAAGTGCATAATATGATATGTCAATGCAGTAAGAGATGCCTCTGTGGTAGGTATGTAGACAATTTGTTTTGATACAACTTCATTAAATACATTTTTACAAGAACTAAACTGTAATTAAATAAAACTAGATCTGCAATGTTTTAGAAACATACTTATATTTGCGTGTCATGAGTGTTGTTTCATATTTCATTTGATTGATGATGATTGAAAGAAATGTGTTTGTACTTCTCTCTGAAACGCTTTCTATAAAAACACTTACGAGTTTCTCGACAGATTTTGCCTAGGATTCATTGTTATGGCAATACACGTTCCACATGATTCTTTTTTCAAATGAAAAAGCTTTTGTCGATCCCTACAAAGTGATGTTGAGTTCTCTAAATATCATCTCAGTCTATTGAATTTCCAAAAAGGAAGCATCGAATCACTTCACCAAATATTTACGCGCTTACCTTTACTTTGATATTCTTACGAAATTTTGTATTATTTCACACCGTTATGGCCATTTGATAGTCGAAGCTCAATCAGACAAACATAGGACATTCATAATAAAAATATGATGATCTCACAGTCAAGATAAAGTTTATCTTTATATACACATCTTCATTGATTCACAGCTCGTGTATATAGAATAAGAGTATAAAGAAGCTAATAGAGAGATCTACCCGAGTAGTATATATGAATAATATACTAGAGCAATATGTACATGCATTTTTACATGGCGGCACAACGAAGGAAACTCGAAGAATGTATACTGCACTAATCATCTATTGTCGTTTACTATTGATCAAGTTTTGAAAATCATTTTTCCTAATATCTTTTCTCTTTTACTCTTTCTTTGTTTATAAATAAAATAAATTGAAATTATGTACAGTTTAAACGGGAATATCGTTGAATTTGAATTTTGTAAATTTAACGAATCAAGATGTAAATTAAGAAAGAGCCTTTATTCACTATTCAGAATTGCTTAAATACACATAAAACATCTGTAAGTGATGTAAAAACGAAATAATACTTAAAATATTTACCATCCAATGTCGGCATCTATTGATTACATAAAGTATTTAACAGAACAACGCAAAATGTTGAGCGATTTTGTTGTACTTTGTAAGACATGTATCACTTAGATATATTCTGTTTTAACATCATTCGATAAACGATAGACAATTTAGTTTTAAATATAAGAATTAAAATTTCATTGGTAGAAATCTACTTCAACAGACAAACATTCTTTTTCTTTAAATGCCAACCTACTTTCTCTTATAATACTCCATAGACGAATCTGTCTGTCATAAACCTTTTCTTAATTAATAATTAATCGTGTCTTTTTGTTGGAATCGAAAAGAGGTAAGAATTTTCTATGAACTCTTATTATTTAATCTTGACACAAATAGTTGTGTAGTTAACAGTATGTTCAATCTAGAGTACTCCTGCTCATTAGTATTGAATAAAAGAATTTATACTTACAAAATTCAATGCATTCAAAATTTTATATTGAATAACAATATTTGATTTGTACATAATATATTACAGTGACAACTGATATTGTAGTACCGTCAAAAAACTATTTATATAATTTATAAAACTAATTCTCACTAGTCTTCATAGTTTTTATTAATATAGAATATGTAGCACTGGTAGCGCAATAAGAGATTAGCAAATATCTGATGGTTATCCAATTGTAAATTGTATTAACTTAAACTTTCTATTGCCATCTTAGACACGAGTTAGGGAATGAACGAAAGTGTAAACGAGCGCAGATAACATGTAGTTATATCTGATAAATTTTATATAACAATTTACACAAGAATGAGAAATTTGATGAAATTACATTTTAATATACCTATGAATTCTTCTATTTTCTCTTGCAACAATCCAATGAGACAGCTGTTACTATTATGAAATTGTATGGAAGGAGAATTTCATCATCATTAGATATAAATCGAACTAGGTCAACATTACAAATCATAATTTAACTAAAATTATAACCCAACAATCGGCTTCATTCGATATATGAGTAAGAGCTACTGGGAATTTTTCTTATTCATTTCAAAATTACATATGATTCATACACGAAGAAGTATAAAATTGATCTCATTCATATTTCCATAATGAGTCTCTTTCGACATATTGATTCTTTTTAAATCATAGTTTTTTTATCTATCATGACATAGATACGCTCGGATTGTTACGAATATAAATTGACATTATATTAAACGACACTCATGTCATTTTCTTTTACAATTCATATAGTTATATCATACATAAAATCTAGATTGGTTATTTTCTACATTGTTCGAGAATTTTATCAATTAACGTCTTTATAAGTTACTCATTACGCGCATTTTACAGTATCGAAAAAAGTACAACATAACGAACGAAAAAGACATTGAATATAGACTATGATGTCATAAATATTCATAAGACAGTAGAGAGAAAAAGATCGTTTGCTAGAGAATACAATTAATAGGACTGATATGTTTTCATCAAGAAAAAGGTAAGCAAAGGAAAGAAACAAATTTATCATGTAAGGTAATCGTTATTCTTTCTAAAGATATGTTTTATAAATACTTTTTTTTATATTATTTTAATGTCCATTGACAAAACGTTAATCGTTTCATGTGCTATATTAAACAAATCAATTAAAACTATCACTGCCATCTATTCAATTATCTAATTGACCATTGGCTCAATTTCATCGTTGTCATTAATCATTCTTCTTTCCTTTCTTTTTCTTTCTGTCAATGAAATGAGACAAAAAAAAATCATGAAAAAAAACGAAGAAGACTTTCTTCTTTTTTGAAAATATCATTTAGTTTTAGATATGAATCTATCTCCGACGCTTCCTTCAACGAAAATGCTTACTAATTCCACATCAGATGATTCACTAAGAGAAGAAGGTAATTCTTATGATTTATATCTATGAATTTATTTGATTTTGTTAATTTAGAACATGATTGGAAGTCTTATTTAGCCGAAACAAAAAGTGAAGCAGCACCAGCTGAGAATTTCAAACAAGTAAAATGAAAATTTCATTTTGAATTCTTTTAAAAAATTGTTCTAATTTAAAGGCTTTAATTCCACCAGAAAATGAATTTAATGTAGGAGAAAAACTTGAATCTATTGATCCAAGAAATCAAGATTCATGGTGTATTGGAACAATTATTGAAAAAGAAGGACCAAGATTACGTATACGATTAGATGGAACTGATGATCGAAATGATTTCTGGCGTCTTGTTGATTCAGGAGATATTCGTGTTTATGGAAAAACATCGGCATCAGTATGAGACAAAATTCTTAAAAACATTTTTTTTTTTCATACATATTCTTTTTAGGGTGGACAAATTGTTCCACCACTTGGTTTTCAACAAAATTCAACTCGATGGGCAAAATATTTCGAACGTTATGTTAAAGATGGTCCATTCGCTGCTGAATCATGTTTTAAACCTCAACCACCAAAACCTGAAAAAAATTATTTTAAAAAAGGACAAAAATTAGAAGCTGTTGATCCAAGACATCCTCAAATGATATGTCCAGCAACAGTAAGTCAAGTTTCAACTGGTGATCGTCGATTAACGATATCATTAGATGGATGGAGTGCATCAAATGATTTTAAACCTGAATATTCATCACGAGATATTTTTCCTGTTGGTTGGTGTCGATTAGCTGGAATTCCTCTCGCTAAAGTTGGTGGAAATCGTATGTAGTTTTGATAACAAAACCGAAAAGAAAAAATTTTCGAATTTTATTTTTAGCTCCTTCTCGTACACCGAATAAAACTTTACCAACAACTCCAAATAAACAAAATGGAAATGTTCGACAACAATCAAAAGTAAAAAAACCTGTTATTTCTCCTATATCAAATGATTCATCATATTCACCGACAAGTATGGATGAAAAAAATAATAATCTAACAACAAAAAGTAAATCAAAGAAAACTTCAAGTATTAAAAAAGAACGTCGAAGTTCAAATGAATTCAATGAAATTAATGGATTTATTAAAAAAGAACGACCAATTGGTAAGTAGTCAATCATAGAAAAAAAAATCTTTCAATAAGTACACTTCTTCCGTAATTCATCATAATCATTAAGTCAAACATTAACCTTCGATTGAAAGTGAATGTAAGGTTGACGTATATTAAATATAGTACACATTTACCGTTAAAAAACTGTATGAAACTCGTCCAAGTGTATATGTTCATAAACGTTTTTAATATAATAGAAAATGTCGATTGATTTATGATTGAGTACATAGAAAAGAAGAAAATTAAATTTTTCCGAAAAAAGCCTCTTAGTCAAAAGGTTGACGTTCAAGATCGATTTATTAATCTGATCAATTTCAAACTACCAAATAGATTTCGATGATATCTGATATATCGTATCTTTCAATGTAATCAGTAGTTTACTTAATTTTATGTATGAATGAGAAATATCACTACACTAAGCAAATAATTTGCTTTTTATATAATTCAAGTGACCCTTCTAAAAAGTAAAACATTAACATTCGCTTGAATGAATCATTTCAAAGTGTAATGTATAGTATATAGGAGAAGTAAAAACTTTCATGATCGTTTCTATACAATAATACTTTATACATGCTATTCTAATGATCATTAGACTTTGATAAATGTAGTTTTTTTTTTATAAACCTTGTCAATCGAAATTTGTAGACATAATTTATATAATGATGTATTTCCTATTTAATAGTCATCAAACTAAATTGTTTTCAACAATCGTACTAGTCTATTTTGAAATCGTTTAATTTATATTATCTGTTGTTTCGAGTTAAAAATCTAAATAAATTTCTTTTAGTAACTGTATATTTAAATTATGTTGATGATAATAGTGGAATGTTATTAAATCCACAAAAATTTCGTTTCTCAATGCCATCAATGTTTGGTCCAGGTGAATGTCATACTGTGTTAGCAACAATATTTAATTCATGTATAAAATGTGCTTTTCAACAAACATCTTTTATTAAACGAATACTTGATATATTTCCAACACCTAAAGAAGACGAAAAATATTCTTATACAGAAATAAAATGTATGTAAAATAAAATCATTTTTATTATTTTCAAAAAAAAAAAATTTTGTTATTTAAATATATATTTAGTGGATAATGGTACAGTAATATATATACGACAACTTGATACAGAAGATGATTTTTGGGATATTATTCGTACATTTCAAAATGTGATTTTATCTGGTAATGATCTTTTTATTTCAACTCTACCACCAATACCTTTAAATAATCAAAGTAAGATTCAAATAAACGAATTCTATGAATATTTGTATATATTTATTCATTTAGGTAATGATTCCTCATCATCTTTTCTTGATTCGTCATTATCACCAGGTTAGTATTATTAGAATATTTTTGACAATATCAAGATGTTTATTTGTATTTTTGTTTATAGATAAAAAACAATTATCACCATCATATAAACCAATCATGAGTAATACCACTAAACGAAAAAGCACGGAATTAACATCATCATATTCAGGTATGTTTCTATTACTTTTGATATTATAGTATAACGGGGGTTTGTTTTGAATATATATATATTGAAAACGAAAGTAATTAGATATTTTTTCTGATTTTCACCATTTATAAATAAAATGTGTGGAATATTAAACTGTCTTGGTTGAAAATTAATGACTTTTTTCGATAAATCAATGGTGAAAATAAATAACAAAACTAATTTTCTATTATTTGACACAAGGTCAATGTTTCTAATTTATCTCGGTCAAAAAGTTGTAATCATTTTATTTTGAATTTTTAACTCTCTTATCATCTGAAATTACATTCAAAATTCGACTAACGAAGAAATATTCGCGAGTATTATACTCCGATTTTGTTCATTTATATATCATTCGATAGTAAACTTTAAATCTGTAGTAAGACAAATTCCGTTCATAGATACGTCTACTAGACATAAAAAACGTTCTTTTCGGTTACAACTTATAGGCAATCCTAATGTGTGTAGTATATGAAAAACGTTATAATATATTTTGTTTTTCTTCTAGACAATACAACTTTTATAAGCAATGGTAAATCTGCACGATCGAATTCTAAAGAAAAATCTGTTTATGATACAAGTAATTATTTAAATAAAAAAACACTAGAATCATATTAAAATTGTTTAATATTTATATAGAACCTTTAGTAAATCCTTCTCCAATAATAACAAATCAACAAAATGCAAAATCCATTCAAAATGGTAATAAATATAATCGATGAAAAATGAATATCAAATTAATTATTTTTTTGTTCAGGTGCTTCTCATCGTCCTGAACGATTTACACCAAGTGAAGTAGCAGGATTTGTTCGTGGAATCGATCCGTCATTTGATAGTCTTGCTGCACGTTTTCTTCAAGAAGTATTTTATTAAAAATGAATTTAATTTAAAGAATAAAGTAAACTAAACTATTGAATTTTCTAGGAAATTGATGGAAAAGCTCTTCTTCTTCTTACAACCGATACATTAATGAGACATATGGGTTTAAAACTTGGTCCATCTCTGAAAATAATTCATCATATTGAAAAATTAAAACAATCTTAAAAGAAAATCATTGGATTTCGGTTTATTTTTTTTTGTTCGATGCTAGTCTGGTCTAATCTTTTTTTTTCTTTCTTTCGTTGTTGTTGTTATTGTTGTTGTTGTTTTTTAAAAATAATTCTCGGTGATTCTCGTTGATTTGCACTCAAAGGAGAAACACATTCTATTTTTTTTGTATCATAACAGTGCACTCTCCACTTTCTCTATCCGTTCTTTTGTTGAGAATCCTTATTTTTTTTTTCGTCTTGTGTATATACATATATATATACAACTATTGTGGGGCTATATCGATTCTTTGAATTTAAAATCTTGATTTTTGATATATATATATTAAAAAAAAACTCTAAACAAATGTAAAAATTCTATTGTTGTATATGATATTTGCCCGTTTAAATTATATGATGATATTATCTGATGATTTTAGTTGTGCTCTTCTTTGTCTTCATTACATTTTTTTGATTTTGTATGTGTATTCATTAAAAATTGTTTTTCTATTAAAAAAAAAAGACATGTGCTTTATTTTTGTTTATATGTTTGTTTGTCAATAAATGATGATTTTGTTCTAATGATCATCATTAATTATGTAATGTTGTTGATGTTCTTTTTTTTGTTTGATTGTTTGTTTATTTTTCTTCTTTCTTGAAAAATCATTGAGGACAAAACTAAGATCATTTATATAGAAATGAGAAAATAAAATATTTAAATAACATTTGATTAAATGTTTGGATTTAATCAAAACAAAACAGAAATTTATTTATTGATTTAAGAATAGAAAGAATAATGTTTAGATGTCTTCGATTAATAATATTTCAAAACGTTTTGCATTAATTTTAATTGATCCTCAAAATGGTTTTGTCAATGATGGTTGTTGGTCTCGAATGTTTCCAATAGGACAATCAACACCTATTCTTGAAACTTTTAATCGTATTGCTTCATTCCTACATTCAATATCAAATCCTGATTCAATTCCAATATTAATCAGTGAAACAGGTTTTTCTCATTATGATCGACAAATATTTGAACCAATAAATAATGAATTATCTCAACGTAAATTTCATTCTATAACTCATACCTTTAAACCTCATACAAATCTTTCAATATGTCCAGGTGTTCAACAATGGTTAAATGAACAATTAGAAGCTAAATTAGATATTGTTATTGGAGGATGTACTATTACATCATGCGTACGGGATTCATCCATACAAATGAAAAAAAAATTTCCACAATTAAATTTTTTGTTGATGAAAATTTATGTGCAGCTAGAAAAGATAATTATTTAGAAAGATGTCAAATATGTCTTGAAAGATATATGAATTATGCTTTACCACCTATTGAACAATGTGAAAATTGTTTGAAAAAAGATTCTAATCAACAAATTATATCACCTGTTCAATTAGCGTATCAACAAATGAAAGATGCAGGAATCAATATTATTAAGAATTCTATTTTAATAAATCAATCACTTTAAATCATTATATTGGTTGATTGAAACATTAATATTAATTAAGCAAATTTTGTTCTTTTTTTCTTATTAGAATAATAAATAAATATGTCCTCCGTCGTCTCTTATAATTAATCATGATATTTGAATTGAATTTGTTGAAAAAGAATAATTTCTTATTTATATTTATTTGCTTTTTTTGCCGGTCAAGAATCAACAAATGTCTATTTATTTCATCAATATTAAAATATATGCAATCAGTTGTATCTCAATCTATGAAAAATAATTATTATGAGAACTCTATTAAGACGAATGATATAATTAAATCGATCTCGACGGAACAAAAATTGTGTTCTATATCATTCATCATCTAACTTGTCTCTTTATTTTTCTTTTACATCATCATGAACATACTATTCACATAACTAATAGAAATAAAACTTAGTCTCATAAGTACAATTTTGTTGTCTAACTCTTGTGTATGACTTTTTTCATCGACACATTGAGTAAATATATATATACATACATATATAAATATAACTACATACTTATTCATTCACTCACTCACTATTGCGTGTGTACATGTTTCCGGTCAAACAAGTTCCTTATATATATATATATATATATTCTCTTTTGTATAGAACGCCCATTTTCTCATTCGTTCGACCATCCTTTATTCTCCGATGATAAGTATGGGAAGTAATGGTCCTCTCTTTTTTTTTTCTTCTTTTCTCTTGTCTATTGCAATACTTCAAACATGATTAAAAAATCACTCGACTTCGTCTATTTTCAAGACATTCTTCAACATGCAGAATTCCGCCTCTTTTCTAACTGTCCACTTAGACAACACGTAGTCATGCACGAGGTCTAGTCCAATATGATTATCAAACTGATGAAGATATTAGTTATGCTTAAATAAGTCAAACGTTTTTTTCATCTCCTCCTCTTGTCATTTACATGGTAAGTGATTGTTCTTTTTGTTCTTCATAGATGTGTACATCCTCTATCTTTAAATAAAACTATGTATTCACATGTAACAGGAAACAACTTTGATGTTACTCTGGTCAGTGAAAAATATTATCATGACATCATTGTTGTTATTTACTAGAAAGTTTGCCAAATGTATATATATACAAAATAACAACACAAGTATGTTGTGATTTGACATCAGACACTCATTCACATGCTGAGTATGTACAAGCCTAAAGGTCATTTTGTATATATATGTAGGATCGAAAATGTGTCAGAATCAATAAAATAGACAAAAAGACCGACATATATACGATGATTAAAATCTATATATGTATATGTATATATTGTATAGAGACATAATCAATGACCATGGGCCACCTATTGAGGGATGACAGTCAAATAATAATATTGTACTTTGTTTGATGTTCATTCATCAAAACACATTTATCTTACATTCTTTTCTAATAAAAAGAAGAACATCTTTATTTCCAAAGCAGCAATTACTTATATTATATATTTACATTTACCAGATATTCGACATTTTATAAACAAAAGTAATATGTATATTAGATACTATTTTTTTCTTGTCTACTATTTAGTTTATAGTTTGTTATAGTATACATTCGGGAAAGAAAACGAATTAGTTTGTGCTCTTTTACAATTGATTACTCAAAGTTTATCGATATCATCATTTGTTCGATTATTTGTTTAACATAAATGTATTATGATCAGTGAAAAGAGCACAATAATTTTCTTCGTGATTTTCTATTGTATTCTATTAAGAATAGCAATTTCTTTTGCTATTCAATACAAAAAATAAGTAATTCTATGATTATCATTCATTTCTTTCTCTATAAAATACTGTTGATATAGTGTATAGAGATGAACTGATCAATCAATCAATCAATCATCTATATCGTAGAGAGAAGAGTCTGTAATGTAGTATAGTATATGATGAACAAGATGGAATTCATTCAGTTAGAAGAAGCAATGATTATTTCTTCTGCTTCATTTATGAAGAAATAAGAGAGTAAAAGAATTTTAAAACATTTATATCGATAGAACTTCAATTTTAATGTTTAAGTCTGCTGTTCACTTATATATATATATGATGATTATAGAGCGGCAGAAGTTCAAGAATAAGTTGTGTATGTGAATGAATGATTAGTGTTATTATAATTGTTCAGACACGACTCATTTTCGTCATTCGTTTTTCTTTTTTTCTCTCTTTTGTTCTATTCTATGAGTTCTTTTCTTCATCTTCTGGTATGAAATGTAGACACATACACATATGATCAATTTCGTCTAGAATAGCAACTAATATCAGTACGAAAGTTACACGCATGTATTCTTGATTGTATTGTGAATAGATGAAGATCAGAAGTAATAGCAGACTAAACATACGACTGACTGGCTTGTTCATGTCTAATTGCAGTCATCGAATAGTACTAACTACTTTAACCGGTAGACACACATACATACACGCATATACATATATAATAAAAAAAAAAAAAGAACTAATATAAATTTGTATGTGTATATGTTCTTGTTGGTTCAATACATGCTTACTAATGATTGAGTCACTCGTTTCTTCTTTCTCAATTCGACCGTTCTCGTTGATTCAAGGTTAAAAAGATTTTTTATATATGCTCGAATGAAAAAAGAAAACGAGAAGAGGATCCTTTTAGCACTATTGCTCATATTGCCAATATAGAACATAATTCTTTTTCTCTATACAACACTCTTAAGTCCGAACGATCTCATCATTATTAAATTAGTGATTGATTTCATCTGTTCCACGATCGAACAAGCAAGCAAGTAATAAATGTATTCATAAACTCAATTTGAATAAAAAATAGATAATTTGTCTTTCATTTTAACAAGTGTTATGTGTAAACTACACAAAAGATCATCGATAAACTGTAGGATCTATCTATATATATATAGAGAGAGAGGCGTAAATCTATAGTCATAGAATATTGATTTATCACGCTTCTCCTTGAGACATTGTGTCGTTTGCTTCTTTACAACCTTGAATCTTTGTTATTTAACTACTAACTAAAGAAAAAAAAAGGATGACTAGTATTATTTCCTTTTTTCGAGTTAAAAAAAGAAATAAATCGCGTGTGACAAAGACTAAAAGGAATTATAGTGTTTGCAGTGTAACATGAGAAATATTAGTAACTAGAAGCAAGCCAATTATGTTTGAACTTCAGTCTTCAAGATATATATATGATACCTCCCGAGGCCTCTCTGTCCATGCTTATATATATAACATGCACACTATCGATAATTATTTTTCAATAACGTACTTGTTTGATGTATGCATTGCATCATTCCCTTTTTTTTCTTCTTCTTCTTCTTCTGCTTGTGTACGAAAGAATGTCGATTAGCCGTTTTTTCCCATTCTATTAGTTGACTTCGCTAATGTGCATGTTCCGATTGAACGACCTGTCGAATGGTTCATTTAAACAAGTGAATCTCAACCTCAAAAGCAAAGCGGTCTCATTTTTTTCCTATATATCGATAATAGACAGCTGATTGATGTTCACACTTTATAAGTTAGGATTTGTATTCGTCTGGGATTCAAATATTATTCCCAGATAGACATAGAACTGATAGTAACAATAATGAGTGGACACACACGTGCTTTTACATATTTCAATATACTACAAGGTCTTTCTGCTATGTCATAAAATATACATGTATGTATTTGTAGTTGATCACTACCATGCAATGAAATTCGAGTACATTTTACGTAAGCTGGCCTATCATCATACACTTGAACAGTGAAACCCCTTGTATATCCGTTAAAGAATATAAGAAAAGTAAGGTACAAATTAATAAATACATGTAAGCAATGGTGACAGAGAAAGAAAGAAAGAAGATAAAAAAATATTATAAAACGCCTTCTCATTCTCTCCCTCTCCCTCTTCATTTTTGTTATCGATGAGAGAAGAGAAAGCAGACTTTTTTCTTCTCTTCTTCTCTCCTAGTACGTACATAAAAGAGATTCTTCTGTTCAATCTTGATTTCATCGGCTTGAACAGTACGTGAGTATATTAAAAGAATGTTCAGAGAAAATCTGCAAGATTGCATCATAGAGACATTAGTAAGATCTACTCCCTATCAATCGAACCCTAACGATCTGATTTCTATTATACACATATGCAAGTTGCCTGCAGTGCTGTCCGTCCATCAGTCAGTATTTGCCGTTGAGCACATAATACTCGCATACATATCAGACAACTTAACTATATTATTTGTTTATACAATCACTGAGCACATATATATATATCGTACAATGGTGGTCATTTAAGTATGCGTTATACTCTTATTTCGTTTTTTTTTGCGTAATATTATCGATCTAGCCGAATTCACGTTGTGTCAATCAACGCTCACAGCAGTGATCATTTTGAAGTGCGAACAGATAGCTATTAACAATGTTTTTCTCGTATGATCAACGACGATATATACATACAATCTTGTCAAAAAGAAAAAAGAAAGAAATATGTACATGCATACATATATATGAGATGTCATCTTTAAATAGAGTTATTTAGATGAAGAAGAAAAAAATAAGTCTAGACATTAAATTTCAAGTAAGCAAGAACTTCTTTTTTTTTAATAAAAAAATATCTCTAATTAATTCATTTCAAGGATATGACTACGATTTGATACTCTATAATCAAGTTGTTTATTTATCCTTTAATTAGTAAACTATATGATAGTATCAATATGTCTATATTATCATAAGAATTGTTCATTTCGAAATGTTTCCCTTTTTATTTTTTTCAGATATCATATGTGGTCATTTCCATCTATGATGATAAACACATGTCTATTATTCTTCATTATAATTTTTGTTAATGTTTCATCGAATTTAATATTGCCTGAATATGGTAAATACGTGAGAGATTAAGAGAAAAGGTCAATTATTTGTATTTTTTTTGTATCTCATTTTTAAGAACATTGTGATGTACCATTGGGTATGGAATCAGGTTCGATTACTGATAATGATTTAACTTCAAGTTCAACACATGATATAAGTAGCGTTGGTCCACAAATGGCAAGGTAAAGGAATCATTTTTCAATAAAAAAAAAAAAAAGGAACGAGAGAAGAGAAGTTGATTGATCAAAACTGAAACCTTATGAAACTTCTTTTTTTTTTATTTAAATAGAATTCGTAGTGAAATTGAAGGTGGAGCATGGTGTCCGGACAAACCAATTGGAATCAATTCATATGAATATCTTGAAATTGAATTACGACAATTATTTTTAATAAATTCAATTGAAACTCAAGGTCGATTTGGTAACGGACAAGGTAAAGAATATGCTGAATTTTATCAAGTTCAATATCAACGTGATAATCAATCATCCGATTGGATTACTTATCATAATAAAATAACAAATAAAACAGTATATTATTTTTATCATCAATATTGTATAATTCCTTTTTTTTATTATTTATTTTAGATTCTTAATGGAAATACAAATACATATATTGCTGAAAAACGTTCACTTTCATTTCCAATTTTAGCTAAACGTATTCGTATTATTCCTTATAGTACACGATGGCGAACTGTTTGTATGCGAATTGAACTCTATGGATGTCCATATAATGGTTAGAATATATATTATTCTTTAATTTATATAGAATGTTTATTTTAGGTGGTGTTATATCCTATAAAACTTCACCAAGTATTGATGAAGATAATACATATGATGGCAATGATAAAATAGATGGTATAGGAAAATTAGTTGATGGAATTATTGGTGGTAATGATTTTAGTTGGCTTAGTTGGAATAAATCACCTGTATCAATTGAATTTCATTTTGATATTTCACGTCATTTTAAAACAATACAAATTTATACAATGAGTAATAAATATGAATCCGTTCAAATTAAATTTGATAATAATCTAACAATTAAACATCATATAGCACCTATTGAATCATCATTATCAACTATATATGTTGATACAATTCAATTAATTAAATATGATAATATATTCCTAGGAAAACAAATTGAATTTCTATTTGAATTTAATAATAATCAATTACTTTTCTTAACAGAAATAACATTTATTAATGAACCAGCAATATTACTTAATACAACTTCAATAATAAATAATACAACAAATTGTTCAATATTAATGAATAATAATAATTCTACCTTTGAAAATTCTTCATTAATAATATTTAAATTTGAATGGTTAACAATATTTATTATATCAATAATTTTATTTAGTTTTATTCTTTTATTTATTTTTGGATTTTATCGAATTCGTTGTCGTTCATCACATCATCGTTTAAGACAAAATAGTAATCTTTATTATAAATCTTCACAAATGACAACAACAACAAGTGGATCATGTGTATCAACATCAAGTGAACATGATGCAAGTACATTACCTGTTAAGAAAAAAAATCATTTATTATTATCATCATCATCAAATAATTATGATGATGTTACAAGTGAACAACAATCAATGGGCTCATATATTTATCCAATAACATCAACAACATCATTATTACAAACAACACCATCATCATCATTATTATTTAAAGGTGAACAATATGCTGTTATTGATGGAAATTATTCATCGAATACTTATAAACAATGGTCAACAAATAATACATTTCATTATGCTTCATCAGATATTGAACAAATCGATAAAGTTTCAAATAATCAACGTACAAGTTTATTTAATTGTATATTACCTCGAGAAAATTTGCCTTCAAAATGTATTCATCATTCTTCTTCGTCAACAAATTTTCCAGCTAATGTTGATGAATCAAAATTAATTGCAATACGTAAAATATCTGAAAGTAAAATTGGTGAAATATATTTTGGTAATTATTTCATTAATAATGAAACGAAATGTGTTTTAATAAAAATAATCAAAACAAATTTAATTCATTCATCAAAGGAACTATTTTTAAATGAACTTGAAATTTTATCACGTTTAAATCATATAAATATTTCATGTTTATTTGGTGTACAACTTAATACACTTTATCTTATTCAAGAATATTCACATTTTGGTACGTTACAAGATTACTTTCATACACTTTCAAAACAACAAACAAATGATTCAACCTTTCAAAAGTATAAATCAAATGATATTTTATTTGTTAATCTCTTTTTATTTATTTTAGGATAAACATTTATTTTGCTTATCAATTAGCAAATGCACTTCAATATTTATCTCATTTAAATTTAATTCATACTGATATAGCAACACGTAATTGTCTTTTTTATTCGGATTATATGATTAAATTAACAGATTGTGCAATGGCTCTATCACAATATGAACATGAATATTGGTTAGGAACAAATGGACAATTAATACCATTAAGATGGATTGCACCAGAAGCATTATTAGTAAAAGAAAAAAATCTTTTTTTTTTAATAAAATATAAATTGATTGATTTTCTTCTTTTAGACAACTCCAACAATAAAATCTGATATTTATTCATATGCTGTTACTTTATGGGAAATTTGGTCACGTTGTTCATGTTTACCATATGTTTCTTTAACGAATGAAGAACTCTATCAATGTATTATAGTACGACAAAATGAAAATAAAAATGATTCATCATTTAATTTATCTGTTCCACCTGATTGTCCCAAAGAAATTTATGATTTATTATGTGAATGTTGGCATATCGATGGAACAAAACGTCCAAATATAGCCGATATAGCACTGTATTTTAAACGACATATAGATAGTTCACGTTAACATTTGTATTTCGTTTTTTTAATATAAATATTAGTCTTGTAATTGTCAGTTTTTTGTTTTGTATTTTATTTTACATATTGCAATGAGATAATGTTTCTTTTTTCTCAGGATGTTTTTATTTCAAAAAATAAATGTATTTACAAACTCATTATCATTATTTTCCCTTTTTTTCTTTCAACAAGTAATTACAACATGTGAAATATATGATGCATGACGAATATATATTCATTGAATGAGAAGAAAAAAAACACATGATAAATTCAAAAACTAAAGCGACGCAATGGCAAATAAAACAGTCGTCAACTTCCTTACATTACCAGTGGAAATTGTGTACCGAGTTTTAGATCATCAATCGGATTTCACAATTATATGTTCAATGAGAAATGTTTGTCAACGATTCAATAAAATCATAGACAGCTACCATCGATATCAGGTAAACTTTTATCTATTGTCTATTTAATGAAAATGAAAATTCGATTTTAAAAGATATTAACGATCTATAAATTCTCTTCAGATAGTCTCCTTTCGTTCATAAACATCGAACAGTAACAGTAACTAGCATGCAAAAATTCTATCTCTTCATCTATATTACATCTTTAACTTCATTTTGTCATTTAGACACTCACCTCACTAAATCTTTATGAGAATTCCATTGGAGATTTCGGCGCACAAAAATTGGCTAGTGAACTACAATACAACACAGTGATTGGCAAACTCTCTCTTCATCTACATACAGTCTTCATTTCCACTTTTCAATTTAGAGACTCATCACACTAGATTGCGGATTTAACCAAGTAGGTGATGTTGGTGCACAATATTTGGCTGATGCATTACGACACAACACAGTAACTGTCACTTCCTGTTTGACTGTATCGTGTCATTACCTTCATCTTCTCAACTAGACACTCACCACACTATATTGCGGAAATAATCAAATAGGAGCTGTTGGAGCACAATATTTGGCTGATGCATTACGACAAAACACCGTAGTTGTCATTCTCTCTTGATCTATATCATATATTTACGTTCACTTTTTGATTAAGACACTCAACAAGCTAGAAATCTATGGAAATGAAATCGGAGATGTTGGCGCACGGCATTTGGCTGATGCATTGCGACAGAATACAGTAGTTATCATTCTCTCTTAATCTATATTATATCTTTACCTCCACTTTTCCATCTAGACACTCATCACACTAGATTTCGGAGATAATCAAATAGGAGATGTTGGAGCACAGTATTTAGCTAACGCATTAGGACACAACACAGTAATCACTACTCTCTCTTTAACAGTATCGTGTCTCTATCTCCACTCCTTTATCTAGACACTCACCATATTGCATCTTGAACGTAATGAAATCGGAGATGTAGGGGCACAATATTTGGCTGATGCATTGCAACACAATACAGTAAGAATCGTCGTCTCTTTGACTGTATCATGTGTTCCCCTTCACTTTTTCATTTAGACACTCATCACACTGGATTTGGGATATAATCAAATAGGAGATGTTGGTGCACAATATTTGGGTGCTGGATTGCGACACAACGCAGTAATAGTTATTTCCTGTTCGCTATTATAATATCTTAACCTTCAACCTTTCTTATAGACACTTACCACAGTAAATCTCGAATATAACCAAATCAAAGATGTTGGAGCAGAACACTTGGGTGATGCATTAAAGCACAACACAGTAAGTGTCAATCTATCTTTCACTGTATCATATCTTTCCCTTTCATTTTTCATCTAGACACTCACCACGCTAAATCTCTTGGGGTATTACATCGAATCTGTTGGAGCACAACATTTAGTCGATGCATTACGACACAACAGAGTAGGTATCATTCTCGCTTCATCTATATCATATGCTTACCTTCACGTTTTCATCTAGACACTCACCACTCTAGCACTCGATGATAATGATATCGGAGATGATGCTATGCTTCAAATCAATGAGTTTCTTGAATCCAATAGCAGTGAAAGAAATTAGTGAATCTTAGTATTGAATACATTTTCATGACGAATCATTAGCTCGATTCGATTATTTTGCTTACAGTTTTCAGAGAAACAATAAATAAAATGGCTTCTTGTCACACTTAATGTGTATTGTTATGAGGTTTTTTGATTAAGGTTCTTATTCAATGATGATAGAGACGATGCTATTGTAAAGAACTGAAGAAGCTTCTAGATGACTAACTTTGGTGATTTGTCACGATAAACTCGTGGATTTTAAACAATTTTTATCAGATAGAGAATCATTAAACATCATAAACTATGTAATTTAATTCACAAACAATTTTAAAATATAAGTGCTCAAGTTTTTTAAATTCTACTTTTATAGAGTAATGTATGAAACATGTAAATAATTTTGAGATCTCTATTAGGATGTTGTTAAAAATCATGCTGTATAACATCTGTTATTGAGTATCGTTAAAGGTTGATAATGATTATATCAAGATCGAAAGTTTCCATATTATACAGAAAATAAACTATTTACAAAAGAAACCAAATATTTTTTAATGTTATTAAAATCTGAAGATTATTTACATTTTTCATATGCAATGGTCACGTACAGGCTTTCAGTGGAAAATAATACAGCAACGGAAATTATATTACCTATTTTAAAAGTCTCCTAATTCGCGATGAAAAAATATGCAACCAACTTGTGTAACTGCTCATATATTTATCAATATAAATACGTTTTCTCCACATCCTACTCTTCAATAACAAACATGACTCAACGCACTTTTTCTTCGTCAACGTGAATAACAAACTAATTGTTTCCAAGTTACTTCGATGGTTAGTCAACCATAACAATATTTCATCACTCGTTTTTTCGTTCTCTATGGGTTTTTTTCATAGCAACATCATAAATAGATGAAGATAAAACATTTCGAAAGGAAGTAGACACCTATAAAGAGAATCGTTTTTGATCATTACTTCACTACTAAAATTTACACAGTAAATTCAAATCAAACCATTCACATAGCAGACAATGGGTAAGAGACATTCAAAAGCAAATTCATCGACAGTTCCAAAAAGTGCAGAAAGTCGTCGACGTATCAAACTTCAAGGAATGCAAAATGTTCTTCTAATCTGGTTAGACAACAATATTGACGAGAACAACGACGATTGCCAAAATACAATCACAAGATTACATCAGGCTGTCAACGATACCAATACATTCACAGATGTTGATTAATGCATTGAGATCATCAAAACAGTCACCAATAAAAAGGCATGTATGATCATATCCGGATCACTTGGACAACATTTTGTGCCTTTGGTGCACAATATGTGTCAAATTGATTCAATTTTTATTCTTTGTGACAACCAAAAACATCATGAACAATGGACTAAAGATTGGCCCAAAATAAAGGGTGTCTACACAGATATTACATCCATCTGTGAAGCACTCAAGGAAGCTGCTCATCAATGTGAGCAAAATGCTATTCCTATGAGTTTTGTGGGTACAAATAAAAACTTGGATCAATTAGATCCTTCTTTTATGTACACTCAAATCATCAAAGAAATACTGTTAACCATCCAATTCGAACAAAAACACATCCAAGATTATATTAATTACTGCCGCGATCCTTTTAAAGGTAATATAAAAGACGTCGAAAACATTAAACAATTGGAAGACCAGTATCACGACGAAACACCGATTTATTGGTACACCCGTGACATGTTCTTGTATCCCATGCTCAATCGTGCATTACGATTAACGGATGGTGATATCATTACACGTATGGGTTTCTTCATTGGTGATTTGCATCGACAGATTGAACAACTGCACCGGGAACAATATCCTGATACAATTCCTGCTAACACTTTTACCGTTTATCGTGGCCAAGGTTTATCCGCAGCAGATTTTGAACAAATGATAAAAATCAGAGGTGGTCTTATTTCATTCAACAACTTCTTATCTACCAGTAAAGACCGGGATCTCTCTTATGCTTTTGCTGAAAGCAATCAGGCCAATCCAGATTTAGTTGGAATACTTTTCGTTATTAAAGTAGATCCATCTCAATCAACATCACCATTTGCTTCAATTGCTGGAATCGGCAAATTCCAAGGAGAAGAGGAAGTCTTGTTCTCTATGCATAGCGTTTTTCGTATCCAGGATATCAAACAAATGGCTGGAAATGATCGTTTATATGAAGTTAACTTGGTACTTACTGCTGACAACGATCCAGAATTAAACAGACTTACAGATTACATCCGAGAAGAGAGTTATCCAGATGAAGAAGGATGGTACAGATTGGGTTTGTTACTATTTAAAACGGGTCAATATGACAAAGCTGAAGACATTTATCAAGTTCTACTTGACCAAACAAAGGATGATAAAAGTAGGGCAAATATTTATCTTCATCTTGGTGTGATCAAATATGTTCAAGGAAAATATGAAGAAGCACTTACATTCTATGAACAATCACTTGCTATTTATCAAAAAATTCTTCCTTGTAGTCATCCTGATATGGCTTCTTCCCACAACAACATTGGTTTGGTGCATTACAGCATGAGTAATTATCCAAAAGCACTTTCATCTCACGAAAAAGCCTATGAAATTGAACAGCAATCACTTCCTCCAAATCATCCTCACTTCGCTAAGTCCCTCAACAACATTGGTAATGTGCATTTCAGAATGGGTAATTATCCAAAAGCACTTTCATTTCACGAAAAAGCCCTTGAAATTCAACAACTATCACTTCCTACCAACCATCCTGGTTTGGCTCAGTCTTATAATAGCATTGGTTTAGTGTATCACAAGATGGGTAATTATCCAGAAGCACTTCCTCATTATGAAAAAGCTCTTGAGATTCAACAAAAATCACTTACTCACAATCATCCTGATTTAGCGTCTTGCTACATCACGATTGGTTTAGTGCATAAAAACATGGGTAACTATTCAGAAGCACTTTCTTATAATAAAAAAACCATTGAAGTTCAACAACAATCACTTCCTCCCGACCATCCTGATTTGGCTATTTCTTACAACAACATTGGTAATGTGCATAAAAATATGAGTAATTATTCAGAAGCACTTTCTTATTATGAAAAAGCCCTTGAGATTCAACAAAAATCCCTTCCTCGCAATCATCCTGATTTGGCGACTTTCTACATCTCCATTGGCGTACTATATTCCAATACGAGCAATTATCCAAAAGCATTTTCTTATTATGAAAAAGCCCTCGAGATTCAACAACAATCACTTCCTCCTAATCATCCTGATTTGACTATGTCCTACGGTAATATTGGTAATGTGCATACCAAGATGGGTAATTATCCAAAAGCACTTTTATCTTATGAAAAAGTCCTTAAAATTCAACAGCAATCACTTCCTTCCAATCATCCTTTTTTAGCTATTTCCTATAACAATATTGGTACTGCGTATTACCGCATGGGTGATCACTCAAAAGCCCGTAGATTTTATAAACATGCTATACGAACTGGAGAACAATCATTACCTTCGAACCACCCACATCTTCAACAGTGGAGAAATAACCTTAAACTTGCAAATAACAAATAATAAATTGTATTGCTATAAATTTTATTTTTATGAAAGCGAAAAAATAAATTTTTTAAACAAGAAAAGAATCATTTTAAATGTGTGCGCGTACAGAGAAACTTTAATCTTATTGAGAACACAAATGAGTGTTAACACCCATCAGTAAGGTAAACAATACATATGAATAGATATATAATTATTGTATCTGAACAAGATAGAATTTCTCTATGTTGGATAAGATAAAGAACGGCCACTCAACAGACTGTTTAAAGCAACGAAAAGAGAGAAAAAGAACTGTATTTATTCAGTACTATGAATTATTTTTTTTGTTCCATTAAAAAGTATAATTCATAGTAGAGAATAAATAAAAGAAAGATAGACAAATGAATGATTTCTATAGATATTAACATACCATGGAATAGATCAGTATGTTAATTTAAATAGAAAACACTTCCCAATTCAACTCAACTCAATGGAATGATGTGAACTGAGTATATATATAGTGTCATCCAGTGACTCGTGGCTGGCCAGCCTCTTAAATATACATATGGCAATAAATTTTAATGCTTTAATATCATTAAAAAAACTGATTTTAACTATCTGAAAATGCTATTCAACTCTGCGTACAATAACCCTTACAACGAAGCTGTTTCTCCCTAAATAATTTATTTGTTTAGTTTTTCCTTCTCCCTCTGTAAAAATGGTGTTTCAGAGATTTTGAACATGAGTTTGATTTGACTAATTAAGTAATTTTTTTATTTAATTTTTTGGGTGTGTCAATTGCCACCCATCTTGGGTGTGGGTGTGGGTGTGGGTGTGAGTGTTTGTATTATATTCATCTCATACCTACACCCACATCCACCCCGCATTTACTTTCACAATGTATTAATGTTAGTGATTCTACTAGTTGCTTTCAGTTTTTTATTTTCTTAAAAAAGAAAAGAAAGTTATAAATGTTTCTAAAACATTAAAAAGACCATTATGCAGCATATAGCACCTTTTGATCAAAGGTATATTAACGATTTATAGACTAGTAATTCTTCAAAATTCTAGGATTTTCATTGCTATACCTTCGAAAAATGAGAAATATTCCTTTTTTTCTAATTTTATAAGCATCTTCAGCAACTGGCAATACCATCTAAAAGATGAATGCTGCATTGAGTAGCATATTAAATATTTCTGTGGATATTATTGTCCTTGAATTTGTCTCAATGAATCAAAGAAATATCCTAACATTTAGTTCTTTTTTCAAATGTATTGAACGGAATTGATGATTCACAAGAAAAAAACTATTTTTCATGATACAAAATTTTGGTAATAATATTTGTTTGAATACTACAATAGAATGATCTTTTCTTAAAAAAGTAATTTCAATCATATCTAATCAATAATTGTATGAAAAGACAGAAAAAACTGTCAAACAAACTTTTGAAGGGATACAGCAAGATAAACCAAAAAATACAGATTTTATTTTTGTTTGCAATTCACTTATTTACACATGCTTCACTTTCACTGACTGTGTACATACAAAAACGAAAAAAAGAAAAAATCACAATTACAACAATCAGTCATGAAAGTTTTTTTTGTTGATTTCTCTCGCACTTGGCATGTACATTTTTAAAAGCATTTAAAAAAGAATATAATCATTTGTCATTAAATAATAGTTGTGTCGTCGACAAAATTGTTTTTTAACTGAATGATTTTAAATTGCTAGATGTCACATGGATACTCTCAAAAATGGCTTTTAATTTTTACAGTTAAGCCAGGAACGATAATTTGTGTCTTCAACACATCCTTACCAATTTTTAAATTGCATAGTCTGTCAATATAGGCAAAGTAAAACATGTATACAATCTATTCTTAATATCAGATAAGATGTGTCCTTTGATTCTACAATGTGCACAAAATAATTTATACTGTAACGGATCGTTCTCAATAGATCTTAATCACGACATTCTTTTTGAATACACAATTTGACTGAACTACTA